GAGCTCTCGTAGTCCATTACAGATCCAGTTCCGGTTGTATTAACCTCCAGGGATAGATGGCTCATATTGTCACTGATAATCGAATCTGCAGGCTCCTCCAACATCACAGGATGCTGCCTAGAGTCACCATCGTTCACTTGGTTGGACGCTGCTGAGTCGTCATAGATCTGAATAAGACTTTCGGGTTCGGTGTGAGAGATCTGTGTCAACAAGTCCGGGACACCGTATCCCAACTTGACGTCTACAGCAGTGTTAAGAGCAAGGAAATAATGTTGGCACGCATGTCATTAAGAGACCTTTCAGAAAAACTGCACAGATCTAGTATCGCTCGCATACCTGAGATGATGTCGCGATGGAGGCTCTCTTTCCATTGTTTGTAGGCTGTAGCTGGCACAGAATTTGCTCGTGCGGCCTTGATGGCCTGCTCTGCCAAGAGTCCATACTGAAGGTCCGGAAACATCTCCTCATACTCGGCAGGATCGGCCAATGCCTGGGCTGTCTTCTCCCTGTTGGCGGCAACAAGAGATTCTTTCCAGAGCTGTAGAACTCGAGGGACAGCACTAAAGTGAATAAAGGTATTGGTTAGCACATATGACTAATATCATATAAAGAGTGTGCAGCGACACAAGGAAAGCAAAACACTTGCTCACCTTGGCATGTATGTCCTAGCCATCATGGCTGCCTCGGGGATTCTCTCAGTCTCGATGAGAATGTCAATACAGTCCTCAACTTGGCCAAGAGAAAGGTAACAGGCAAAGGCAATGTTGCTCTTTCCAGCCTCCTTAGCCATCGCCGCCAGTCGTCTCATGCCTTCGGCGTTTCCGCTCGAGGTATAGATAAGCAGCAGTCCGCTCAAATCCTTCGCGTTGGTAAAGCACTCTTCCGCGAGGTTGATCCTCCACTTGTTCATAGCACAGTCGCCCAGCGTCTTCCACTTTGGCTCCATATCCGATTCTCTAGCAATGACGACCGCTTCGTCCAGCCTCTCTAGCTGAATCGCGAGATCGAATTTGTGCTCTTGATCGGTTGAGACTTCTAAGGCGAGCTCCTTGAGGCCCTGGCCCTCCAAGAATCTAGCAATCTTATTCAATTGGTCGTGAGGAATACGTGCTAACAAAGTCTCGGCAGTCTCCATGTCACCACGAAGGATCGCAGTCTGGTACTCGATGACAATCAGCGAGATGGCATAGCTGACAATGTTGACATCCTTGTCCACGAGGTAAAGACGGTTGTCGCGGGGAATATATCCAAGAAGATACTGTGCATTGTCGAAATGAGCAATGGTCTGGCTCTGCCCACCGACCAGGTAATTCAGGCGGTTGGAAGTGTTGGTGTAGATGAAGCAGTCTCCGACCCAGCAACCAGTTTGAACACTAATAGCACAAAGGAAGCAATGATGTAGCGGGTTAACCACTGCAGGATAAGGCGGTCTTACATATTCAGTACTGTAAATATCCACGCGCGTACTTTTCAGGGACTTCTGTAACAAATTCTAATGCTTCCTCAACGCCTTCCTCGCCCACCTGTCCACCAGCCTCGACGAACTGAGAATAGGCAAGACGGTTGTAACGCAAGACGTAGAACGAGTCACTGCAGGCGATGGTCATTAAGTCGCCAGTCTCAGACCAGTAGACCTATTATAAATAAAAGCAAGACAATCGCTGGGTAAGTATTTGGATAGTGACAGCACAGCATCACGGCGTTGGCATCTCAGGCTCAACACTGCTTACGTTCTTAGGCTCGCAGTCAATGCGACGGACAGTGAGACCAGTCTCCCAGTCGTACAAGTTCAAGAAGCTGGCACTCCTCACTCCGAGTAGCGTGCCTCCAAAGATGCCCTCGGCTGAGTAATTGAGTCTGATCAGATTGGGTCTTTCCTTGAAGTTCTTGAATACCTTCACTTTCGAGGATGATTCACGGACGGCATACAAGTTGGAATCCAATGCCCAGACAAACTCGAGTCCACTGCCAAAGCTCTTGTTTCTCCAGGCCAAGGCAGTGTAGATGATGTATTCTCCGTCTCCGCAAACGACGACGAAGCGACCATTGGGGCTATGTTGCAAGGTTTGGGGGTATACTTCACAGTTTCCGAGATCCTTGGCAGAGCAAATGATACGCTCGCCGTCCTTAGTCTCGTCGCCCATGCTTGCCTTAATGTTCGCCGTCTGGATGTCATTGTGCTTAGCCCAGATGATCTTTCCACCGCTGTCCATGCTGACTGTGGGCTCCTCGCGACCCAGCTATTTTTTTTTTAATTTTTTTTTTTAGTACAGCCATGAAAGAAAGAGAGATGCTATCAGGCCTTTTCTGTCATGCAGTCAAATGTAACTACAACGCTGCAGCGAACCTATCCTTACCTTAATAACAACGGAGCCAAGATCGAAGCCTAATCCAACGTCGTTCGTCGAACGACGATAAGCAATAGCCCAGGCACGGTTGAGACCATAGTTCAGAGTGTTTTCAAGGCGGTAAGTGTTGGCATGCCAGATCTTGACGCTTCCATCTTCGCTTCCTGAAATGATGATCGGCAGGTCTGGATGAAAGACTGCGAAGGTGACGTTTTGAGAATGCCCCTCCAGCGTCTGAACGCAGGTTTTGTTCTGGTAGTCCCAAATCTTGACAAGTTGGTCATCACCAGCCGTGACAAGATACGGTTTCTCTCCACCATAATAGTAGTCGACCCAGTTAACGCCCTTTTCATGCCCTTCCAGCGTAAAGTTGGCCACGCTCGATCCAAGAGACCACACCTTGACAGTGCGGTCGACACAGGCTGAGGCAAACGTGTTGGTATCCTTTGGGTTGATGGTGATGGTCATAATAAAATGTGTGTGACCTTCAAAGGTCTATATAGTTCAATTGAGAAGGAGGAGCCATACAAATAAGCGTTCGTATGGCACATTCGGCCTGGACGGTAGCATAATAAAAATTCGCAAAGAGACGAGATCGAGACGTACCTGAATGCACTTCCAGTTCTTGTCCCAGTCCCACAGACGGATCGTCATGTCATCCGAGCCCGAGAGCACGTACGGAAGAGTCGGATGGACAGCAATGCAGCGAATGTAGTCACTGTGAGCATCCCAACTGTGAACCTTCTCGTGCGTGTTGTAATTGAATACGCGGAGCTGCATGTCGTCCGATCCTGTGATCACATAGTTCTTACGAGCGATGAACTTGGCGGCGCGGACTACATTGATCATTCATAAAACCGAAGTCCCGTTTAGCTTTTAGCGTTCTTAGAGGATGGGGTGTTAACGCTGGGAAGGGTTCCTGTGAATTCAAACTCGGTCTGTACCTGGCTGATCCGTGACTTCAAAGGTCTTAACCAGTGCCTACACAAATAGGAAGTTGCCACGTTGAACAGCAGGAAATAGCGTGAGCAGTAACTGTATTAGTACGCTTCCAAATCAATTCGTACACGCTCAAAAAATGACTTATCAATACAACATCTAATAAAGGCGTTACCTGGGTCTCATAATTCCAGATGTATGCATGTCCATCGTACAAACTGGCTAGAATCCAGGGTTCTGTTGGATGAAAGTCCATGGACTTGACACGCTCAGAGCGTGCCAGCAATTTTTTCTATTCCATAGCAAGATGAAGGTGAGTTGATGGGAGGCCTATTCATAGCTGATTCAGACTCGGAGACGGGTCAACGCTCCTTCATATGTTTATTTCAAAAGCAGATGAATGTCGGGTGAGGGCCATGGTACCTTGATCTCTAGTTTCATGCCCTAAAAATGTATTTACAACAACCGAGTAGAATCAGTGAGCATATGTCCATTAACACTTGCAGGGATTAACCAAGCCATCCGAATCTGCCTCCAGTGTCTCTAGTTTAGGCGCTGCTGCGAAGGTATTGTGGCGAGCGTTAAGGCTGTTGAGATCTCACAATGCAGTCGTACCATGCTGAATAACGCGCGACCTTCCGTGTGTTCCTACTTCTTGTTGAGCTAGCGTGTGTTTAGGGGTGAAGATTGAAAGGAACGATAAAGAGGAAATGAGGGATATGCTCGGTCAGCGGCAAAGGAGAAAAAAGGCGAGGAAGGATGGTTTAGAAGGGAAGGTGATGAAGTGATGAAGTGAAGGAGTGATTCGAGATGATGAACAATGATTCCACGTCACTCAAACTTTATTTTTGCTGGTCAAGCCTATTTAAACGCGATCTTCTGGACAAGTGCGTCGGCGATGGTATATGTGAAGGGAAGCACATAGGGCAGGATCACCAGCTCGAGGGCTGCGCCCATCATGAGCCAATGATGCACATACCACAACTTGATATTGCCGTGGAAAAAAGCGTCGTATCCTAGTTGAAGTTTGAAAATAAAAAGTCGCGTCAGGAACGCGGTCTTCTATATACAAAATCGGCGCGTTTCCGCCCTTCCTCCCTGCCTATTCTTTGCACTTGCCTCTATAGGACCATGCCGCATTATACCCAATCAAGTAGATTAGCGTATACCTGAGGTTTGATGAAGCCATGTGTTAGCTATCAGTCTTGGGGTCCCAATTTATATGCTATTCGAGCAATGTCGTCAACCTCTTGTTTACCCTTGAATGATCTCTAATAGCCAAATGTTGAGTGGAAACAGCAGGATGCGAAGAAAAGTCGAGCTGATAAAGGCATGAAATCCATGGATAAGAACGGGGATATAAAGCACGTTCATGATATACTGGTGCACTGTCTAAACCATCAGTGAAGAGTAGAAAGATATTAACTTAGTTGATCTGATTGATTTCGCAGCTGTGCTGTTGCTGTCTTTCGTTACCGTATGTCCGGGACGACCAGCAAAGGGCCTCACAACCACTGTGCCATCGGGCTCCTCAATGGTCATCGTGTAGAACGCGTACTCTAGTATAGAGAAGAAGTTGCTGTACCTAAATAAATCGTGTACATACCGAAGCAGTCTATCGGGGTCCTCTATCCTTACCTGTGCAGCTGAATAGTGCCGCCCCTACGACGCATTGAATCTTCACCGCAAGCGAAGTTGCATGAAACCATTGGATGACCACCAAGGTAATAAGGACATAGCCAAGAGGTGGAATCGGATGAGCTTTCGTCTTTGGTGGTGCAGGTGCTCTGAAAAAGCGCAAAGACGAGCCTTTGGGCTGTGTCCTAGGGCGTGCTGTTGCCATTTGGAGTCGTGATGTCGAATGTGTGATGAAAAGATGCAGGATGAGCCGTGGGTGAAGATGATCAATTTTGTGAAAAAAGGCTCTGACTCTACACAGCCGACTGACTCGTGCCCACAAGGACGCTGGCTTCTACTATGCTCATGCACTAGATACTAATAACAGCTACACATCTGAATCTGGAGACATTCCACACTCGCTTAGCCTCCCAGAGGGCCACTATCTCTTGAGGTTTCCCTCCACGGTGGGGCGATCCTCTATAAGGATCTTATCTTCCTGGCACAGTTTGCATCCTGTAAGCATGGGCTCCAGTTTATCCCTCTGTAGGATGGCGGCGCACCCGATATCCCTGTGACAACATATCTCTTGTCCGCCGCACTGTCATACGTGTAGATCAGTGCATCCGCTACCTTGCGAACAATGCTGGCCCTTTGAAGGCAGGCCGACTCGGCTGGGTATTCGCTTAGGGGACCGTTGGCGGTCATGACAATTACAATCAATCGCTCTTCATAAAAGCCGTAAATCGCACAATGTTGACGAATCCGAGAGACACTGGGCAAGAAGGATGCCATCTCTAATGCTTTTGATAAGTACCTTGTTGATATCGCTGCTTAGCGCTCGGCGTCCCCATTGTAAGCACCCTGGTAGATATTACCAAATGGAAACGCTTTGACTTGCCCTCTATGGTTGCTGAGGTGGTCCGGGTTCACGATTGCCCGTTTCTCAAGTCTGTGAGGTGTCGAATTAGAAAGAAGTGCGTCCCCGGCATCGCGTTAATTATTGATGCCCAGTATCTCAGGGCGTCGTCTTGATTGAATTCGTCGTCGCCCGGGTCGGAGTCGGGGCACCATTCTTGGCCGTAAGAGTCTTCTCGTGCAATCATCCAGCCCCACTAAATGCATCCCGCAGATCTCAGGAATACGGTCCACATCTGACAATACGCATAAGGAATCTAAAAGCCCTCAAACTTCTTCAGATCCTTGTCGAGCCACACGAGCAGTTCTTCTAATGCATCCAGATCGTTATGGGTAAGAGAATCCAACTGCCGCGTTCTAGGCGCTGATCAACCTATCGGTATTTTCTGGTCAGCCGCTCGCAGATGCTCTTGACACGGGAGATGCTGACGATGGTGCCGACCACTAAGTCAGTGATAGTGGAGACAAATGACACGTCAGCTGGCGCATCAATCATGTTGTTTGTGCGCCTGTCAAAGGGTGATATAGCGTGCTGAAGGTTTCGAGCGGTGCAGATGGAGAGATAACAGAGTATTGCAAAGGAAAACGATGAGCTATTCTCACTTTCAGACACAAGTGCTGAGGCGGTAAGCAGGAGGGCCTGAGATTGTACAACTGCTCCGCGATGTAGTGTTTTCGTTGACATCCACTACAGTGTACTGATTTTCACAGGACCTCACATCAAAGTACGTGTCTGCAGTCAACTCATTAGTCGTATCGACATCCTCGTTGTGCGCCGTTAGTATTGTCCGGTCTTGCAACAATTCTTGCGGTAAATAGTACTTCGTGTGTTGACCTAAGCGACTGTTGGTTCCCTGCCCTCTCCGATGCTAATCGACCACTGTTCGAATAACTGGCCATGCGGATTGTTGGGTTATCTCTCTGTTTTCGGTCAGCCTTAGGATCTGACGTGGGGTCAGATATCCATCCAACTCTTCAAGCGTGCGATCTCAATCTACCATAGTGACCGTCGAGACACAACGGGTAAGACTTGACGAAAGTCTTCTTCGAACACGATAACTTTGTTATGAATAACGTACCGCTGCCCATAATGTCACGGAATGTCGTGTCCATAGCCTCAAAGATGGGTCGGTGTTGCATAAGCGCCTCTAAGGCGGGATCGTAACGAGGATTCTTAAAGACAGAGTCGAGTTCATGCGCAGGTGCCTCGGCGGGTTGATCACCGGATCAGGTGCAGGTGCAGTATCAAGGTTGAATTGGTTGAAACCCTCACGCTACTTAAACATCTTGGATACGGCGAGCAGCAATGGTATTATGGCGAAGTATATGGGTGACAATTACCCGCTGACGTCTATTGAGAAGTAGTAGGAGATCATTTTCACTCGATTCAGCCCATCTATCCATCTTCCTCGCGTACAACAAAAAAAAAGAGGCCTGCCTCCACCCTGCCAACATTTTTTGGACAATATCCATGTGCTGACCACCTCTGGACATATAGAACTACAGGGTCACCATATTGGTATGCAGAATAGTAATAGCACAAATAGGAAGGGCGCACAGTAGACTGTTGCTTTTATTTGTTGGTTGTACCCATGGTCGTCTTAGTTGTCATCATTTCTTCTGTGCCAAGTGAGAGCATAATGGCCGCGCTGTTCGCACGTCAAGCAAGGCATGAGAGAGGTACTAAGGCTCAGAAGCACTGGGCATGTTTTCATTCACAAGTATAAAACCGGGAAGCCGAATAGATTTTTAGCAACAGGATGGGACCCGCGGGGCCGAGAGTTTTATACATTATATGATTTACCAAAACTTGTTGCTTCTAAATTTTAAATTAAGGTAGGAATACACGGCATGACATCCCGGCGATCGCACGAGCTCTTAGTAACGCGATATGTATGGATGGTAGTAAAGTACAATGCTTGTTTTACGTTATGCAGGACTATATTCGATTTATGCCGTACGGTTAACAGCTGATGTGATCGGAGGATATGAGCTCATAGGTGTGGACGACAGGCGGGGCGCGGTGGAGCTGCGACGGTGCTCAACGTATCCGCCGCCAGCAACAACACCAATTCTCATCCTCTCAAGCAAATGCCTTGCAGCGTTAGAGTGGTCGTAGACACCTCCATTGAACGACGTAGTCGCATCCTTGCCGACAGCGCTCAGAATCAAACTCCGTCCGCCTGGATGTTCGTCAATAAAGCTCGAGATATCGTAAATGATACCCTCGATCAAGGTAACAGTCTGCTTCTTCTCCAAGGCCAGCTCCTGGAACTCTTCAAATGTAAAGACTGGCAATTTGTCGATGGGGGTGCCCCAGAGCAATGTAGACTTGACTCTATCCAACTGCTGCTGCTGCATCCTGACTTGACCCTTCTTAATCTCGTTCGTGGGGAAGCGTTTTAGGTTCGAGGCAAGGCCGATAAAGGCACAGAACGCAATCAACCATTTTGTTGGATCGTATTGATAGAACTTGATTGCGTTTCTATAGTCCTGGGGAAACTCGTGATGGAAGTTGTGGTATCCCTCTCCGAGGGTGACGAGGGCCGTTAGGATGTGATCGCGGGGCGTGTGGCGGTCGTCAAAGGGCATATCGCCCAGCCAGTGAGCCAGAGAATTGACGCAGAACGTAGCATGGTGGACAACAAACTGGCGGATGATACCTCCGTAGATGAACCCGCCCCAGTAGTCACCCCAGCCGAGACCTGCGACGATGGTGGGCACACCCAAGGAGACTAAGGGAGCGAGCCAGAGGAACTGGTTGTGCTGGAACTTGACCAGCCTGTTGGCTTTTAAGTCCGAGATGTCAGCCCAGCCCACAGTTGTGGGGTCTTGTCTCATCAGCATCCAGAGGAAGTGGGACCAAACCAGGCCCTTTTGTGCTCCGTAGGGATCCTAATATCAATAGAGAGCTGTTAGAGTGATAGTCTATGATACATTTTTGTCGATAAACAGGGCAGGAGGCAAACCTCAAGGGCCACATAGGAAGACCAATCTACGCCATTGGACTATGTGCCACAACCAAGCACAGCGTCATTATAGCATAAACTACCACTGTTTTTGAGAGCAATGATAAGAACTCATCGTTGTCAATTTTCTTACCTTCTCAGTATCAGTGTAGCGATGGTGGGCACGATGGTTACGGCACCACCAGAGAATCGACCCTTGCATGGCGCCAGTTGAGGCAATCATGAGGATGAACTGAAGGACGGGCCCTGCACTGTAGGCTCGGTGAGACCACAGACGATGGTATCCTATTCCAATTGAAAGCATGTTAGCGAATTAGAGATCCAAACAGCTGAAATTGGTCCTTAGTGTTGCAAAACGCCCTTCTTTCAAAAAGGCGGAAGGAAACACAAGAAGAAGCTGTGGCATGCAGATGAGAGCAAAAACATGATAGAGTTGGGCCTGGCCCGATTGAGGGAGTTTCGTTTGATTTTTCAAAAGCAATGTTACACTGGCTTCCATTGGCACGTTCCGCCAGCGTGGTCCCAATTGAGGCATGCGAAAAAAAAGGGTGCATCCGCTCTTGATGTATGCTAGTGCATCTTTCATTGTACGGACCAAAATAGACGAAGAAAAGAAGGGCTACCTCCATATTGCATTCCATCCAGAGACCAAAGGACAAGGAAGATTGGAAGACCACAAATGAGGGTGGATTCTGCGATGCGGACAAGATAAGAATGGGGATGTTTCCTTTTCTTCCAATAGCCCACTAGCCCACTAGTCCACTAGTCCACTCTCCCACTTTTTTTTTAACTATTCTCTCGCTAAATCCCTTGGTTCTTTTTGATGGTGCCTTCCCTGTTTTTTTTTTTGGTAGTATGATGAAAATCCTGGTCGAGTCCGTTGAATCCAATTGCCGCCTTCCAAAAAAGTCAAGCAAAATTCACAGCCCAGGGAAGCAAAGTGTACAAGGACGAATCAGAGAAACACGGCTTTCGTCTTCTTACCTGCAGTAATACCCAATCCTGTGAAGAAGTAATAAGCAACCGCAAAGATCGCCGTCTTTTGTTGCAGTGGGACAGATGTGAAGGCCATGTAGAACCCGTAGATCGGCATAAAGATGAGGCCAAGCACATGGACCCAATCCAGCTTCCTGTGGAAGTTGCCGACGGTCCAGGGCTCATTCAGTACCGAGAAGTCATTCTTAGCCTTGACCTTTGGGATCTCCTTGACATGCTTGGCGATGATGGGGGATGGGACATCGTCCATAGAGGAGGCGGGCGAGGACACTGAGAGGCCTTCGATGACATCGCTGTCACTGAAGTTCCTACTGCTGCTGAATGAATTGAATGTAGGGTGGGTAATAGAGATCAGGTTTGCGTTGCTGGTCGAGGACCGGGGCGTGCGCCTAATCGGTGTGGCTGCAGGTCCCATCTGTTATGGTGCTGTTTTAAAGTGGATGACAGGGCAATTGATAAAGGGAGTTGGACGGGTGAGAGAAAGGAAGGAAGAGCAGCCGAGAGGGGGAGAGAGGCAAGGGGGATAAGAGAAGAATACCGAGCAGCACAAATGACGGAGATAAATGGCTGTAGGCAGCAGCGAAAGTATATCGCAAAAAAAGGTAGGCCCTTGCAGGAGTGGTGTGTAAAATATTTCAATCTTTTTTGTTTTGGTGCCCGATCATTGGCCACCGGGCAGACGAACGAACGGTCGCTGGCCCAGGAACGAGGAGGCCAGGGTCAGTTAGACAGCTTTGCTCAGAGACCGAGTTCAAGTACAAGGACAGGTGCAAGGCCGGGCACTCGCACAAGTGGGTCTTTCCCTCCCATTCCTCTCGTTCTTTCTCTTTATCTCCTCATGCCACAGCATGGCATGGCATGGCATGGGATTCAAGAATAGAACCAGGAGGTCGGCAGCGACGGAATCTGTTGTTTGGAGGATACCGAAAGGTCAACAAGCAAGGACGGGGGCACCTTGCGTTTGCCCTCAACTTTACCGTATCTCCCATCCGTCATTACCGCAGCCATTAACCACTGACTGTTGAGTGCCCATTGCCAAGACACACCTCGGTGATTTGGAATATTCGCTAATTTCTCAAGTGCGTGCTGAAAAAATATCGTATGTTGTTGGGTCCGCATGTTATTATGAACCTAAAGGTACTTCGTGTTCCTTTGTTTCGAGTCCAACTGGGGGAAGATTTGTCCATTTTGAAAACAAAAGATTCTCTTAGAAGTGGACTCCGATTCACTCCCGAAGACGGGTTTCGGGGAATCATACTTGCCACTTTTCGCCGAATCGAGCAATGTCCTTGAAGTGGAAACAGCACTCAAAATCTCGTGTCACAACTTGCAATCCCAATGGTCCACTCGGAGGCACTGATCGCTCACGCTCCCAGAGGCCTCTATCTATTCTGCAAACTGCACCATGATGATGTCGATGGCGTTCATTTGATTCGTCTAAGGGATACTAGTGTAGCTATTGAATCACATCCTTCTTGCTGACGGCTGCGCATGGCTTGACCGTGATGTTGGCTCCACCTCGAAGAACGCATACCAGTTCACCCCGCGCAATGGGCCCCGTCTACCCTGGGTGAAAAAGCCCACGCAGTTTTGCCACAGGCCAAAATCAAACGGATTCGATTCATCTCCGCCGCTGCCTTGCTGTTGACGCCTCCTGGCCGTACCCACCAACAAGTTCCACATCCCACCACCTCTTCCACCGGGGTTACGATGATCGTGGTGGTGACCATTCGAATGATCTCCAAATCCAACGGGTTTTGATTCTTCTTCTCTCGCAAACAGCGTTGCCTCATCCTCCTCCTGTCCACCGCCTCCGGCCTCCAGCAGGTTGATACTCTCTTCCTGCAGCGGATGCCCGGCACCTGCCATCTCCGAGTCGATTTCTGCCAGAGACCTTAGGATACGCTGGCGGATATTCGCGGATCGTCCCATGTAACTGTGTCGTTGAAAGTTCATTGCTTCATTTGTGGTCTTGCCCTGCGCGACTTGGTAAAGCTGAACGACAAATAGCAGCCCGGGCCAGGTCATCTGGAACATGGACCAGAATGCGAGAGTAGTCGTGAATGCATCGTATTGGAAATAGCCGCATAGCGTTCCGCCTAGTAAGCATGGATTGGAGGGCTCGGGGGTATACTTGAGCGATGCGATAGCGAGATCTATAGGTTGCCATAACAGTTACTTGCTGTCAGTACCCTGTTCCTCGACGTCAAACCAATGCTGGTGCAGCGCTATCTTCACCAGAAAGGTAAACTTACACTCAAAGGAGAGGTACGCGTATATTGGTACAGTAGACAGGAACAGCGCCAAGAAAACAATAAACGCGCGGTGGTTCTTGGCGCCAATGCAGTTGTGTATCCAAGGACAGTGATGATCAAACTTTGCTACACATCGGTTGCAGAACTTGCAGTGCTTCGACCGCATCGGTCTTTGCGCAACGCATGTTACACAAAAATGTCGAGCATCTAGTAGGCCACGGTCTGCCATCTGCACAACAGTCTCACGCTGGGCTTCGATCGAGGTGTTGCATTTTGTCCAGCCAGGGTCTGCCATGACAGCGCCATAGAAGAAATAAAGTGATGTGCCATATCCCACTATGAAGGCTAGATTTAGCCAGAACAGATGCGACGTGTCTATTGGTGCAAATATGAGTGCGATAAAAACACAAACGCAATATGGGGTGTTAGACATCTTGGCAATATCTACATGTCCAGAACATGATTGCCAAGAAAAGAATATGAGTTTCTGTAGAGCGGCATACTGAACAAGACATAGCGCAGCCAGACATATCCGACCCAGAATGCTGTCGACTGAAAAACTGCCGTGTAGTAGGGTGTTTGCAGCATGTCGTTTGGTGTCTTCGTCCGCAACAGGAATTTCACTGCTCCGACATGACCGATCAGGAACTGGAATACGGCAAGCGGGAAGGCGATGTACCATCGGAACAGAACCATCAGCTCCAAAGTGAAGAACAGGGTCACATAGGGTATAAAATAGATGATAGTGTTGGTTGTTTTCTATCGATGAGGATATCCAAGATTAGTATGTTCATTGGTCACGTCTTTGCACCATCGTTCGTCGCCCTTCGTCGTCAGTGTTTTCAACGCCATGCAGTACCTTCTCAAAGAGTGACCTCCTCGTTTTGCCATCCCTAGCCAATTTGGCATCACTAAGCGCCTTTTCCCAGATTATGGTCCCCTTGAGTTCCTTGATCATGTCCACAGGGGTCTTTCCAGACTTGTCTCCTGATCCGACGTCTGCCCCCGCCTTTAAGATCTTAGACAGACAGTCCCGGTTCCCCTTGACAACAGCCCAATGCAACGGGGTAAATCCTTCCCGATCCTTAGTGTCCACACGCGCCCCATATTTCAACAGAATTTCCACGCTGAGACTGTCGCCTTGGTATGCAGCCCACATCAAACTCGTGTGTCCCAGCGTGTCAGCTATATCGACCTCCATGCCCCCAGCCATGATCAGGTAAAGAACCAGCATGGCATTTGATGAATGTGTTGCCAGGTGGAGAGAGTTGAATCCTTGTGAGTCCTGAAGAAATGGATTTGCTTCGTATTTCATCAGCAGCTTGGCCATGTTCAAGTGTCCGTTTCTATGTGGTTCGCGCTCAGAGAGTAAATTAGGTAAACCATTCCCGAGTAGATCCTGCCGCTTTCCTCACATATCAAACCACTTCTGACCAAAGAGCCATAAACGCGATTTTAGTACCTTGTACACCAATGCAAAGGGGTTGCCACTAATTCGCCACCGATAGCATCAACCTCTGCGCCATGATCCAGTAAACATTTTGCAACAGGAATCTGGTTGTTGATTGCAGCCCAGTGAAGCGCCGTGACATCCTGGAAATCTCTGCTCTTCACCAACGCCGGATCTGAGTCGAGAAGTCGAGCAATGATGGCGAGTTTCCCCATCTGAGCAGCCTGAAAAATGGTAATACCTAGTCCGGTCCAGCGTTGGACATAAAAGTCATAAGCGATTAAAGATATGAAGGAGCCATTTTAGATAGCAAGAGCTGTTCGCTCGTATAGCTGGGGGTCAAAGGAATTAGCCCTTCATTTGCGGCAAGTGTGATGCCCTTCTTCATCTATTGCTCTGTTGGTAGCATCCTCTGGCGGATCGATACGGCCACAGCAGAGAAATTGATACTCTGTTTCTCTGCTTACCTTCAAAATCCTCGTCTGCTGTCGGAGAAGGGCGGAACTGTGGGTTGACATCGGCAGCGGGGGTTGTGCTGTCTGCGGTTCGTGATGAAGAGGAGATTGCTGCTGCTTCTGCAAGGGTATCGGCTGCAGATCGCCCTTCTGCGATGGCAGCACCCACAGGCGCCGTGGTCGCGGTAGGATCAGATGTTGAGACCATTCGAGATTCAGGGACAAACTCTCTTTCCTGTGTCAGCACTGGTGAGAGGATAGGGGAGATGCAGGTGGTCGAAAACAAGGATTGAGTCTGCTATAGATAGTTTAAAGAAGTGCCAATTATAAGGGTTGAAAGGAATAGATGGACAGATGGAGACAATGGAAGAATGGGAAGGATGGCGATGGCGCTGAGGAAGGCCGCCCCTTCAGTGCGAAATGGGCTTTCCTTTTTCCTTATTTTCGACCGCAGGTTGACGTTACGACGTGACCTGTGCGACCCAAAGACGCGCCAATTTGTCGGCTTTGGTTTCGGCTTCGGCAAATTGGTATACAGGTTTATTTCAAGACATTGAATGCTGACCATTGACACGCAATAGTCTATGTTAGCTTGGAGGCCTTTTCATAAAGGCTCTCTACCACATTAGCCATGTTCTTCATCGTGTCCAATGCGCCCTCGTATGTCTTGTCCACGGGTATCTCTTCAAAAACCACCAGACATCCTGCCCCCTGGTCCAGGACTCCAAGGAACGACTTGTCTAGAATCATCTGCGACAACTTGATCTCCACCTGCTGTGCTGGCAACTTGATAATTTCTGCAATGTGCGAAATCTCGACCCTCGAGAACGGCTCGATAACACGTACCAAGTTCTGCTCCAACAGTTTGTCATACAGTGAAGCCAGATGATTCCTGATGATGGGGTCATTGTCAAGCTCTATTCTCGAAAAAAATGGAATAAAATAATGGTGTTAAAAAATTTGGTTATATGATTATATGATTATATGATTGCGGAAACGCTTCATCCAATTGAAGGCACTCAAACACACCTTCGCGGTAGGTCGCCAATGCCTGCTCAAACTCCTGAAGCGAACGGTTCTGATGGGCAGTTGCAATGGCCTTCATTGCATCCACTCCCACGCCTCGATACTTTAGAGCGACCTTGCTGTTCAGTATCGACTGGATATCTTCCGACTATAATGAGAGATAGGACGATAAGTGAATCTCTGTTAGCACATATCCAGCGACGAAGACTTGGTCCAGAGGTTATGATGCAATATATGACATTACCAAGTTCAGCATGACTTTGCAGAGAAGCATGTATTTAAGTGCAGAAATAGCTCTGGGATCCTCCAACGACGAGTAGCCCTCGAGAGTTTCATAAAAGTAAGAAAATGCTGTCTTGTAGTCCTTCTCTTCAGCGTGTAGAATCCCAGACTGCATATCCAATGCGGCTTGTAATAGAGGTGGACAGTAGATCGAGTTGGCGGACGTTCTTGCAGATGTAAGTGCAGCCTGTTTATAGCATATGTTGCAAACAATGGAGTGAAGTTAGCAAATGCCTTTAGCGCCTTTCCTTTCACTGTCGGCAGCCATGAGGCCGAATGTTACCTTAGCCTTGGGCAAGTTGCGTAGGGCATGGCAGACGCGGCTTTCCAGCAACTGGACTTCGACCAGCATCATCTTGTCGTCCAGTTTCTTCAGCTCTTTGAGCAATGTTGCCACTAATGCCAAAGCATCGCTGTACATCTTGTTGTCAAGATAAAGTGCAATCAATCGCGTCTCCAATGCCTGCTTCAGAAAAATCCGCTTCTCCTGAATCGTCCATTGAATCGTCTGTTTGCAGACATCAATCTGCAGTGGAAGAGTGTTGGGGATCTCTGAAAAATAGTCGATCAATGTGCGAACTAGAATGAAACGCATATGGTCAGCTATCAGCCGGGTAACAGTTGTTCGTCGATACATTCGCATCTTCTGCCAACTAGCGTACTAATCTTTGCGGTCTTGGCCTTTGGAATCGTTGTAATCAATGTGCGAGAGTCGTGGATCAAGGCCGCCAGTTCATTGGGACGACTATAATACACCAGGATGAAAGGGGGTTTTCGCGTGAGTGTCATGATTCACGGTCGCATTTAGTCAGTCGATATAGCCCGCTAGCACTTACTGCAGATCACGGTAGCATTGTGCGAGCTTCAAAAGCGCTGTCTCTTGATCATTCTTGGTACTATCTACTATTGGTATGCCGTCAATCCATAAAAAGGACGCGTTAGACAGTTGATAAGCACACCTGATACTCCTATCATGATGTACCTCCGTGTCCAGGCAATACGTGCCTTTTGTTCCTGTGGAAGCAAGAATGCTCTGGAACAGTGGAATAGCTTGTTCGGGAGAGGCCTTCTGAACCTCCTCAGCCTGGGCAATGGTTGAAATTGACGGCATGGTCCTGGTGATGAATGAAGAATGAGGGTATCGATTGAGGTTAGGTTCAAGGTTGAGGTTCAAGGTTGGTTGCGCACGTCAAGAAAGTCTCGCTGAAATTACGTCACCGAAGCCAAAAACCAGACTTTGCTTGCATCCACCATCTCGCCCTTGCACTTGCCCCACCGCGGTACTGCTGCTACTTCTGCTACACTGATGCTACTGATGCCTGCTTTTGTGTACGGCCTGGCATCTCATATCCAAGGGCAGCGTCCATTCTTAGCCACTGGCTGAAGGTAGAGCGGTCCGCTAATCGTATTTCAAATGTTGTGGTCCGCCATACTATCGCGGTGCATGTGAGTTTTGCAGATCAAGTAGTGTACAGTCGTCAGTCGCATTCCTGGCTTCATTGCCTTGCGAGACGACCACGCTCGCAACCGGTTCGAAAGATCAACATGTCTGAATCCCTCAAAGAACTCAAATATTGTTGTCGTCATCCTACCTGGTGATCGCATTGATGTGTGAGTATCCATCCAGCCGAGTGCCAGTAACCGTTCCTGGATTTGCGTAATCTGCGGGGTCCTGAACTGATAATGACAATTACGTTGAATATGGGCGACCAATCTTTTCCCGTCGTCCGTATACTTCGTCACCTCATGATTCATTTTTTCAAACCTTCATATCTCGCGGCATTCGCAATCTTTGCTTTCCCCATGCTTTTGAGCTGAGGTATAATTCTCAACGCGCGTATCGGCCTGGTCAAGGTCAAGTCGATGGAATGCGAAAGTGTTGTGGAGAACCAAAGTAATGAGCTCGTAATACTATAGCAATAACAACAACTGTAGTCCACATAGTATATTTCGTGGCGAACCTCCTGCAATATCCGATCTGTCACTTTTCCTTCCTACGTCCAAGTAAAGATCGATGGGTCCATCGCAGAGAACCTGAATGGATTACGAATATCGCTGCGGACTGCTAGCTTGGAGACTGGAGAGATGATGATCCAATATTCGAGTTTGACTTCATAGCCTGAAATGACGAGTTGCTGGTTATGGGTCGCCTGCATCCTGTTATTGCAGAGAACATTGCTGTTGCTGTCGGTGCGCTAGTTGGAACACCCTGTGAACAACGATACAATTGTTGACGCAACAAGTGCTGAATGTTCTGAGGATACCGTATGGTGCTGATGATTCATTATAGATGCTTTCATCGCCCAGATCTTCCCTGGTTTCCTTCTCATGAAAGCTGGCGAAAGGGCCATAGACTCAGGCGTGGATCAAAGCGAAGAATGTTTCGAGCACATCCACATGTACCTTCTAACCGCTCAAATCGACCATTGGGGAGCTTTTGGACGTAGCGATGTATTGTGGAAGACCTCGTATACCCATGATGTTCGTGTGGTGGATAGGGAGTGGGAATGGGGGAAACAGGAATTTGCAGAACGAATAGCTCGAATGTCAACAATCACCAAGTGCTGATGATGCAACACTTGGACATGTTCATTGAACGGCATGCATGTACGCCTACTGTGCTCTTAGATTTATGTCAATAAAGATGCATGTACTCTTCCCCGGATACCCTCGTTTTTTTACTTCGCCCAGTTATTAAGTTCGCGACTGGCCCGTATCACTCACCACTATTCCACTATTCTTTCCTCTCTACTTGCTACCTTACCTGCTTACCTTCTCAATCCTATACCACCCTAGTTCGCTCGTAACACAAAAACTGCTTTTTTAGCACTAGGAGAAAGTATTGACAGAAACATCATCTGTAGACAGCCTAGAACGGCGACATTATTTCCTTCGTCCCTTGTGGTTGTACCAATGTTGTGAATATTAAATCTGTCTTGTTCCCGAGTTGTAATACTACTTTCCATTCGATCTTTCAAGCGCAAGACGCTTGAAGCGACTTTCCTCGATTCCGCGTAAGAACGATTTCTGTTGAGATGGCACCATAGCGATTATGCGCTGCATCGTCCTTCGGATAATTATCTTCACGCGAGGGTTCCTTCCCGACCCCAAGAAGAGCAGCGCCTCCGGTTCAGACCCAATTGTACGGTTTCTTTTTGCGTTCGTTTAATCGAGACTCGTACTGGCGCTAATATTTATGCAGCTGTACGTGTCTGGTGACCGTTAGCGAACCTATCTTTTAGAGTCGATGGCTAGGTCCCAAAAATGGAAGAAAGACCAAGATGACAATAGGTTTTTGGCTGAGAACATAATGGATTGGACTATTCAATTGCATCTGACAAGTCAAGAGTGGACAGAAGTCTCAGAAGGACTAGGAGGTAGTGTCCAATAAAGGCTGTGTCACTAGGAATCGACTCGTTGGTATTTCCTCCGCAATGATGGAGCTGCGGGAAGATGGGAGAGATGGGAAAAATGGAAATCATCTCGCCGGCTGCTAGTAGCATGCCGCTATGTATGATGATCCAGGAAAGACATATGAGGGCGCTATTCATTTTATCCCTGCGAAGTTCATAGAACTCAGGAGCAGTATTACATACGCCATCCTCTCAAGTGTACCGGCATTGAAATAAGTTGATATCAAGAACAAGGTACACCATCGAGTATCAGACGGTGGTTTCATTATCGCCTATTCTGTCACCGGCTTTCAAATAGGTTCCAGAAGACGCTTGCCTTGTAAAACCCCTCATCAGGAGGACCACATGCTGGGGACTATGCATAGTTCTTTATCTTGCTGGCTGCGTTGGAACCCTTGACTATGAGGCAATCTGGTTCCTTTTCCCTTACTGCTGGTACTCTCGTCGAAGAGCTCATTGGCGGGTAAAAAACATACATGGCCACAGCAATGATCAATTATTTTGCTGTCCATGATCGTATTTGCATACGATATGGGACGTCAAGTTAGCCAAGGTCAGTGAAATTGTGCGAACAGATTGTCAAGAAGTCAAGAACGTTCAATACCAACTGGCCATCAAGCAAGTCGATATTCGTCTCAACCTTATGCATACGTTGAACCGTGTTGCAGTAACCTAAGCTCATGATAAGCTATGCGCCTCTAAAACAGGAGATGAAATCTGCGAGACAAATGAAGCGAAGACTTTTCAAAACAAGCTAGTGATTAAAAAAATACTTTAATGGGAGAGAAAAAGAGAGAGAAAACAAAGAGGAAACGAAACATGATATGACTGTAAAGAAGATAGATAGATAACGACTCTCTACAATTGCAAAATGCATCTGGATTGCGGCTGTGGATTTGTATTTACTGCTGTGCGCACTGCACGCCGGGATGGCCACCCTCCTCGTCGTCATCGCCTCCCATATGACCTTGCTCGGCTCTCGCCTTCTGGCGAGGATCCATCTCGGTCAAGCTGACCTCTTCAATATGTGCTCCCTTAGGAATGGTAGGAAGTGGAGTAGCTGGAGGGAGGATAGATCGGAGCTGCTCGATCTTTGTAAGCTCGGTCCAGTTGGAGGCAGGGAACTCGATCTCAAACTGGATATAGAGATTGCCAAAGTCGTGGTGTCTTTCCGTGGGCATGCCCTGGTTCATCACAGCCTTCAACTCACCTAATTTGTCACAAAATTAAGGGTGAATGGATTAGGCATCAAATTCTGTCACTTTGGAATCTCCTAGAAAAATCTCGAGCCCTTATTGGGCTATGCACTGCATGGCTCTCAAATCACTTACCAGGCTTGATGACTTCGCCAGGAAGGATCTCGACGACGAGGACACGGTCGTCAAGATGAGGGATCTGGATCTTTCCACCAGCAAGGGCAGTAACGAGGTCGATCTTGGCATCGTAGAACAGGTCGTCTCCGCTGCGCTTGAAGCGATCGTGCTCACGCTGCTCCAGAACAATAACTACATCGCCGGGGACAGTGCCTGGCGCCTGGTCACCCTCGCCATTAAAGACAATCTTTCTGCCGTCCTTCATGCCTCGATCGATGTGGACCTCGAGGACCTTGCGGACCTGTAAGACCTTGCGAGCATTGCAGAACTTGCATTTGTCTTTGGGGTTAATGATTTCACCCTCACCACGGCAGTCGCCGCAAGGCTGCTGGATCTGCTGCATCATAGGGCCCATCTGTCTTAACATAACACGGTAACCCTGGCCATGGCAAGTTGTGCAAGTCTTGACAGCACCCTCCTTGCCTCCCTTACCATCGCAGTGTTCACAGATGACGTTCTTCTGGAGAGCAAGCTTGGTAGTCTTGCCCTTATAGAGATCCTCCAGAGAGACCTTCAGTCCGTGTGCAACATCCTTGCCACGGCGGGGACCCGAAGGGCGACCACCACGTCCACCGCCGCCACCTCCAAAGAAGTGAGAGAACAAATCCTCGGGAGAAAGGCCACCGCCCATTCCAGGACCACCCTCGCCGGAAAGTCCAGCCTCGCCATATTGATCGTAGATCGTACGCTTCTGGGAGTCGGAAAGGATATCATATGCGTGGCTGATCTCTTGGAACTTTTCAGAAGTAGCGCCTCCAGTCTAACAAATGACAAAATGATATGTTAGTCGCTTATACACTAAAAGTGAAGGCTGGTGTTATTGAGGGGTGCACAGTTTGTTTAACTGGTGGCAATCTGATGGCGAAGCATCTCTCAAGGGGGGCAAGGTCTTGGGGCCTCACATTCTTGCCAAGTGCTTCTTAGTCATTAGAGAGCTGATGAGTGAATCGCAAGGGCAGTTACCTTGTCAGGATGGTACTTCAAGGCCAACTTGCGGTAGGCCTTCTTGAGCTCAGAGTCAGAGCAGCTGGGATCGACCTCGAGGGCCTCGTAGAACTTGGTTTCCTTAACCATTGTTATTAAAGGATGTGGATATGTGTACTAGGGAGATGCGAGCGTATTTTGTATATGTGAGTATGGGGAAGCCAGGCGCTTTTTGAAGGTGATGATTGTAGAGAGGAGAGGGGATTCTAAGGAAGATGCAGTGAGGGTTGTGATGCCGGAAGTGATGATGAAGAAGGAAAGGGGATCGCCAAGTTGCGCAGAGTATATATACCCACATATTTTCATCAGGCACCGAAAATTTGTTCCAAGGAAACAAATAATCACGTGTTACCACCAGTCACTTATGTTTTTGTTTTGTCTTTTTTTTTTGCCAGAGTTGAATTAGAAGTGCTCCAGCTGCCTCACTCCTCAGCTTACTCCCGCTTGCGAACACACATACACACTTCCCGCCACCTGCACTCCTAAGAGGGTTATACTCATCATGGCTGACACGGTGCAATTCTACATGGAGGAGATGATCCCCGAAATGAGGGATCTCGAGCAGAAGGGTATCTTTTCCAAGGTTTGTTACTGAAGTATCTATATTCCTCGTACTAAGTAGAAGAGCACATTGCGCCAGCATATAGAACGTTAACAAAAGGATTCTGATCCTATAACCATCTAGAAAGAGATTAAATCTATCCTTAAGAAGCGCGAAAAGTTCGAATACGCACTCAAGCGCAGAATTTCCAAGAAGGCCGACTTTCTTCGTTATATTGAATACGAGATGAACCTGGAGGCATTGCGAAAGAAGCGGCGTGCCAGGATGGTCTCGAATACCAAGCAGTCGATCTCGGACTATGCTGGACCTCGTCGCATCTACTTTATCTACAAACGCTGTCTCACTAAGTTCAAGGGTGACATCTCGATCTGGCTTCAGTACATAAATTACGCAAAGAAGACAGGGGCAAGCAGGACTCTTGGCAAAATCTTTGCACAGGCGATCCAACTTCATCCTATGAATGAAAAGATGTGGATTTTGGCTGCTGCGTGGGAATGGGAAGAAAACGCAAACATTGTTGCCGCCAGAGGTAACCTTGCCCACTTCTACATTGGCACGTTGTTGTTTGAATGTAATGTAACTGAAAATACGAGCGTCTCACACCTATCTTTACTTTATTAGTCTTACTGCAGCGTGCGCTCCGCCTCAACGCCACTACAGAGACCCTTTGGCATGAGTATTTTCGCCTGGAGCTCGTGTATATCGCAAAGATCCTTGCACGTCGCGAGGTGCTCGGAATCGACGCATCGCCGGAGGAAATCGAGAAGAGTTTATTGGAGAACAAGGAGGTTGACACAGACAACATGATCAAGCTGCCAAGCGTCACTGGAGAAGAGTTCGAGGCATTTATCAAGGACGCGGAGGATGAGAGTGGAGATGGAAAATCGACTTCGAATAAGAAACAGAAATCTAAAAATGGCAAAAAGGAGAAGGCACTGGAGCCCTTGACGGAAGAGAAGGCGGAGACGTACAGGGCTGAGGCGAATCCTGTGCTTCGTGGAGAGGTCGCCATGGTTGTTTACAGGAATGCTGTTAAAGAGATTCCTGACTCGTTCCCCTTCCGCAAGGGATTCCTGGATATTGCCAATTCGTTTATCAAACCCAAACCTTTGAAGGAAAACTCAATCCAGTACATCTATGACTCCATTGAGCAGGACTTCAAGAACTTACCAGAGGCTCGCGCCCTTGTGGCCAGACGTGCCATTGACGCCTACAAGGTCGATGAGGAGGGCTACGCCAAAGGTGTTGCCGAGACAGTCAAAGAATTTTGGCAGATTTGCGAGAATGGAGGTACCAAGACGTGGGAGCTTTTTGTTGAGAACATGGAAGCTGAGTATCATAGGACTCAGGAAGAAAACTTGGTAAGTGGATAGGAAATGGCGACCATGCTGCTATGAGAATGTCTACACTGACTCTGGAACTAATATAATGTACATGACATTCGGCTTCGATTCCCTATAGAAACTGTATTTCTCGAAAATGATTGACAGGATCATTTCTTCCGCTAACAAGAAGAAGATCCACTCAGAAAGACTGTATCTGCTTCAAATCAACTGGATCCTTTCGACATCAACACTGTCTGTCGAGACCACCTCCAAGAATGTTCTTGCTATCCTGGACAAAGCGGTCCCACAGTACCCCGATTCCAGGACCCTCGTTCTGCAGCAGATTCGGCTTTTGCGATCGCTGTCCCAATCGGAGCAAATGACAAGTCTTCCAGTAATTTTTGCTCATGCTCTAAAAACTCACTCGGAGAGCTTTGATATATGGCGCGAGTATATCTCATTCATTCGAACCGCATACCGTGAGGGCGACATGACCCAGGAGCAGGTTGAGGAGGCCTTCTTGGAAGCGATCCACACTACGACAGCATTACTACCCGATGTTACAGAGGAGAGAGCAGAAATTGGACATATCAAACAGGGTGTTGGTGCATGGTTCCTGGACTGGATAAATGAGACCGAAGGCATTACAGGAGTACGTCGTGTATATCAGTCATTGATGAAGAAAAGTCTACCAGAGCTGACCTTCTTCATGACGTGCGTCCACCTGGAGAAGAAGAACTCTGTGGACGAAGTGGCTTCGAAAAAGGCAATCGCAATGCTTTACGAAAAGGCCATTCATGCCGACGAGAAGAACGAAGGTAAAACATTGGGAGTTCTTGGAGTCGTTCATGCCACTAAAGACTGTAAGACGGATGTTCTGTTAGCTGATGAATCCACACTTTGTTATAGACACATACCTGTCCTTCCTAAAGTACTTGAACGAGACTGGACAAATTGAGGAGGCCAACAAGGTTCTGTGGAGAGCAGGCAAGGCTGTCGCCGATAAGGATGCTTTCTCTCAGCGGTACAACGAGATGCTTGAGGGTCGATGGACTGAGCCCTCGTTTGGAGCCGCGGAACTGGATTTGGACATGGGCATGGATCCACAAGACCCCGATGAGATCATGTCATCATGAGAAGAGAAGCATTTTAGAAAACATAATAAAAAAGCCCAGTCATTATTCTGCATTTTATCATATAGAAACGAGCTGCTTCCCCGGTTCTTTGAGTGGGATATTGATTTTGTTTGAGTAGATCCATTGCGCCGCCCATCGTCTTCCATCATGTTATACGCAAAGGTAGATTACTGATACGTTGAGGAATCGGCAGGGGTTGCAACAACTAGTATGATGATGCTGATTTGTGACGCATGAGCAGAAAAAGAATGTATCATGTACATGCTGGCTGTAGTGCTGTTGCAGGGGCCGTCGAGGTATAGCTGCAGCAGGAGAGCAGTAGCACAGCATGAACACACAAGGGCGCCATGTAAGTGTCCTTTGCTTTGTTTTGCCGTTACTGTTTTTAATTTCAGCGCAGCATGTGTAATGCACTTTTCTATGGGAAAAGGGAGCACTCTATATCGTTTATCAGAACGTGTGAATAAGGCTCACTTCAGTGACTTTCAAGGATAGAGGGATTGACATTAAATGCAGAGTAAGAAAGGCAGAGCAGCTGGCATCCTCAGCGGAAGGGAATGAAAATCAGGACATTTGCGAGCTCTTGAATTACAGTACAATGTGGCTGTGCTGCTGCACGTCACTCCACATGCCATTTCCAGAAATGAGTCAAGGCAATGTACACCGCAGACGACGGTGTGGAACCATGGTGTCACCGCCATCTACAAGAGCTTTTGCCTAGTCGTCTGCCAAGGTTGGTGTACGTTTCCTCGGATTTGGTCAACTCAGGGAGCTGCTGAAGGACTCACAGAACAGAGGACCACAGGTGCCCGATCAGGTCCTGGTAAGGCTAACTATGCAATGTGAAGCAGCTTGCTGAGCAGGTCAAGTGCTTGCAGTTAATGCCTTTGTTGCTGACGGACATCGGCTCATCTACAGCTGCGCTTGCCATGGATGATAGAAATCGCCCGTACAATACAGGATGTTAACGCCCTTTTTTTCGTTTTAGCCTGCATCTCGCTTCCGAACTGAATCCAGTGCTGTAGTCAAGACCGCGATATGAGGAGCGATAACTGAAACAGCACAAGCAAACCGAAATAGGTCTTACAGCCAACCATTGGCTGTGCTGACTAGGATCAAGCTCATTTACGAAAGAAAACTTGCCACTCCAAAGTACCGAGGCCTCACTAAGCCTAGTCTGGAGTAATTGAGTTCGATACTAAATCTGATATACTCTTCCGGGACGGTATGTCACAGGTGTGGTGTCGATTGTGCGAGCAAAGGAGCTCGGTGGTATTGATCGAGGAGTGGCGCCAGCATGACTCGTCAGGAAGCCAGCGATTTGAGGTCTACTGATCGCCGACTGACGCCAAGATAAACTCTCAGGATGTGCAGCTGCCAGCGACATTTTAGTCGCGATCGGAGCAATTGCAGGGATCGTCAATGTTTACACAACTATGCCCTGGGTGTAGTCAAGACGAAGGCGCAGAGATCGAGAGCCGGGAGCTGTACAAGGGATTGTTGAACTGCGCCTGAAGGTGTAGAGGAACGGGGGTGTTCTTGTGTTCTTGAAGGGCACTGCGTCCCGACTTGCTCACCTGTTGGTACGGAGTTTTGAACTGTGTTTGCGCCCTTCAATTGCTTCGGCTACAAAAGGAAGATGACGACCCCTGCCCACTTTTCTTTTGATGGTGGCACAAACTGATGGTCCCCCGTTCAGTTCCTCGCTCTTTTCTGCTCTTTCACTCACACGATCTATACAGCTATACACAGAAGTTCATATACGTACATCGAAAGTACTCTGTTGTCTCTGCGCCGCCTGGATGAACATGGTGCCATTGGATCATAGTCCAACAGCACTCCAACACATACACGGCAGCCTGGCTGACGGATGAAGGAGTTTTTGTCTACTGTGTCTAGTGAGTTAACTATAAGCAATTTGCCTTCCTTCCTTCCTTCCTTCCTTTTTTTTTTTTTTTTTTTTTTTTTTTTTTTTTTTTGCATAGGTCAAACGCACGGTGGCCTCGTCCTGGCGTTGCATGGAGTGAAAGATCAGGAAACAGTGAGACAGTTCAAAATAACCGGATTGGCAGAAAACCCCAAGAGGTTGACCTGGTTACCCTCCCAAACCGCATCGACCGGTGGATCAAGTCCAATTGATATGGTTAGACTATAAAACTGAGTGTAGATCGCTTTCTTTAGCGTGCTTGAAGTTAGATGTTCCGCACGGGGAAGGAGACAAGGATAGAGGCTCACTTCTCGCTTCGTTGTCGTGTGGACGATTTGGTCTCTCTCCTTATCTCTTTGTTCTTGACTGTTTCGGGCAGACAGATGAAGTAAACAAAAAATTTTAGCATGGCTGGGCTAGTCCCGCATCCTGGGTTGCAATAAATAGAAGTGGGTTCTTTGCCCTTCTTTCTGCTCCTCTCCTCCTTTCCTTCCTCTCCTCAACTCGATTCGTTCATCTCCACCAGCTCCTCCCACACCCCCCACATCCACTCACAAGCTCAAATACAAACACCTTTTTCCCTCCGAAGAAGCCATTTCGCTCTGTCTTCTTCAACAGCTGACTCTTACTAGACAACCATAAGAAAGAAAGAAAGAAAAATATTGCCAGTTTGTAAGTGAAGTGTGCGATCGAGTGGATCCCAGGTCATTCAAGAACATCAGCAGCAACTACAGTATTCTAACCAGCGTCCCTTTTTCTCCCTCTTCAAATCCACCCTTAGCCCTTTTTTTTTTTCTTTGTCACTTTCTCCACCCTTTCGCTCTTACTCAGTCAAAATTCCGTTTTTGATCATCCAGCGGTCCCCCCTTGCTATGCGTCCAGGTCCCGACCTCAACTCTTGCGCCTCCGTTCAGTTCACCCCCCAGTTGCCTTTCGTTCCCATCCCCTGCTGCCGATAGCATCGCTACTCCCATCTTACTCTTCCATTGATCTCTTTTTTCACTTAAAAAAACAAAAAAAATCAGCGCTTTTTTTCTTGAACATCTAAAAAGAACACTACCTCGCAAGCTCTCTTCACAGAGCCAAACAAATACCAGTTCCCCCCACGCTTCTTCAATTGCTTTTGGCTTGTCAAGTCGGTTAAACAGGTAAGAGTGGACCGCAACGATGTTCAAGATGTGTGTGTGGGGGAAGAAAGAAAGGGGAATACATAAAAAGGACATATCCGCATTCATATGTTAATTGGCTAAGGGAAGGGCTCTTTTGGCCCAGGGAGGAGAGAGGAAGGGGGGGTCGATCTGTTGAGTCTTGCAGGCAATTGGGGTCACTGTGTATCTATTTTTTTTCCTGACCCTCCCTCCTATCGCGTGCCTGTTCCTTTCCCTTGTTTTCGTTTACCCCGTAATGTCCACAGGGCAATTGCCGCTATTCCACCTACGCGTGTTTTTACGCGTTTGCTTTTCTATGCGCTCCATTGATACACGACACATTTAACATGCTTGGCCTGGTCCCCCATGCAGGTGTGGCTGCAGCATGCTTACGCCTATCATCATCTTGTGTTCTTCCTATCGATAGGACTTCACATCCCAAAACAACCTGCCCATCATTTCGTCAGAAACGCAGCCCCCAGCGCCCTTCGTGTTCGTGCATCCTCTGAGAAAACCACCCTAATACGTTTTCTTACACACCCGAAAGACCCCCACGTGAATGACTGTTCCTGTCCCTGTCCCATCCTCGGCCCCGGCCGTCGCCACCACCACCACCGACGAACTCAAGTCCGCCGCCCTTCAACATCTTAACGCCTCTATTATTCCAACCAACTCTGCTACCGCCGACTCAGATTGTGCTTCTACCACCAATGATGCCACCCACAGCCTCATTCAAGTAGTCTCCGCCGCTTCCGCGCACCTTCACAACAACGAAGCTGGATTCGAGAACGACGCATTCTTGGACACTACCAACGATACGCAGGAAGCCGGTTCGTTCGAGGGTCCCGAGAAGCTACTCGAGATCTGGTTCGGCCCTGCTCCGTACCTCCTGCAGGGCATTCGAACCACCCCCACCGAGCTCCAATCGACCGAGACCGACGATTCCTTTGGCGGATCCGACCGATATGGTCTTCGTATCGTGCCCAAGCCCGTCTGGGACGAGATGTTAGCCATTGTCAAATGTCAGGTGTTGAACTCGATCCAGAACGACTGCATGGACGCGTTCCTCTTAAGCGAGTCCTCGTTCTTTGTCTACCCTCACAAGCTGATCCTCAAAACCTGCGGTACAACCACGCTGTTGATGGCCCTGCCCAAGATCCTGGAGATTGCACAGAACTACTGTGGACTCGAAAAGGTCTGGCGTGTCTTCTATTCCCGCAAGACCTTTATGTTCCCCGAGCGTCAGTTGCATGTTCATCGCGACTGGAAGGACGAGGTGGCCTTCTTGGATCGCCACTTTGGTAAGTCGTTTGGACTGTTTATGATTATAACCAATCTTTTAGATATTATCGTTGTTTTGCTGACGAACTTTTTTTTTTTTTTTTTTTTTATATAGATCACGGCGCCGCGTACACTGTCGGCAAGGTTAATGGAGACCACTGGTGTCTGTATCTGACTGCACCTCAGGACGATTGCCTCTCGCACATTACCTCTCGACGTAGCAGTGTCAGCTCTCTGGACAACACCATCAACCCCAGCAACGAGAATGGCGATGTGGTCATCGTCGGTGGCCACGACGAGAAGGTTCCTCATCTTTTGAGCATTGTGACTGATAAGGGCGTATCTGATTTCGGACAGGACTCCCCCTTGGCATCGCCTGGATCGTCCTCTGCATCGTCTGTGGCGTCGTCGTCTTCGTCGATTTCGATTGCCACATCTGCCAGTAGCGCTAGCTATTTGTATCCCTCTCACGATCAGACGGTCGAGATTCTTATGACCAACTTGAACCCTGAGGCGATGAAGCGTTTTTATCAGAGACCGGACGATGTTCCGGGCACCGTTGGTGGTGTCCGTGTGGATCAGGAGACTGGTTTGGCTGGACTCTTCCCTCAGGCGCAACTGGACTCTTTCCTGTTCACACCCTGTGGTTATTCCGCCAACGCTCTCCAGGACGGCAACTATTACACGATCCATGTGACCCCCGAGCCCGTCTGCTCCTACGCATCGTTCGAGACTAACATTCCCGTGGGTCTCCGCAGCAAGAAGAGCAGCAAGGTCTCTGGCAGTAGCACTCCTGTATCTGCGGCGTCGGCTAGCGAGGATGGCGATGCAACTGAAGATGTGGTCAGCAAGGCGACCTACACTGGTCCTGAGACTTTGACAGAGTTGATTTCGAAGGTGGTCGAGATCTTCCAGCCTGGTACCATGAGCGTGACCCTATTTTCGTCCCATATGACTGAGGATGGTCAAATGGAGACGGACCGCCAGATGGAACGCCGCCAGCGCCGCATGGTCAAGGCAATGGGCCGCGTCGCAGGTTTCACCCGTACGGACCGTATCCTGTATGAGTTTGAAGGATGCGATTTGGTCTTCGGACACTTTGTGGCCAAGGCCTAACAAATTGATGGAGTTGCAGGGGACTGAGAAAGGGGACGCAGGATTTTTTGCGACGACAGGCAGAGTATGTGATGGCTAGTATGTGAAAGCTTTTACGAGGGAATAGCCATCATCCCTCTGCCTATTAGTAGCCTCTGTTTCTTTCTCACGTTCACTTCGTTTTTCCTTTGTCTTTTTTTCTTTGGATATTTTTTATGGACTTGCTGACCACGGATACCAATTCCCTTGTTTTCAGTTTTGATTATTTTTTTCACAGAATGAACAGCATGTTCCAATCCATTCCATGGCCTTTAGCTTGTTTGCACACCATTCGAAATAAAGAACAGCTATGGATTAAAGTAAACGCATAGATGCACGAAATAACCTTACGTTGCCGGCTTTTTTTTTTTTTTATGTATACTCTTCAAAGGCAGGGTGGTTCACATCCGCCAGCCCATACTATCTATCAGCCCTGATCCAGTGCCACCTCCTCCGGCCCCACTGGGCGTTGGGCCGCCGGTATTAGAGGCGTCGTATGCCTCCATTTCAGACTGGTATCTCTTCTTGTCGTTCTCAGCCATGGATCCATAGGACTCTTTTTCGGACTCGGACAGCTTTTGCCACTCTTCCCCCAGCATCTTTGTGATTTCGGTCGGCTTGAATTCTGGGTGCTTTTTTTTAATATCATCCCTAGTTGTCATTCGCGTTGTGCGTCGTTAGTTTAAAAAAGACGCTCGCGATAAGGCACGTTTTTAAAAATAGTAACAACAAAAAAGAAAAAGACACGCCTTTTTACCTCTTCATGAGCGTGAAAAAGATGTACGAATTCCTTGGACGTTTCGGACAGTTCTTATCCTTGATCATGGGCATAGGGACCTTTTTCATCTTCTTTTTTGATAATGAACCCATGTTCACACCGTGGAGGTTGTTAATGCTACCCATTCCTCCCATCCCGCTCAGGCCTCCCAGACCCCCTAGTCCTCCCATGCCACCCATTCCGGGCATACCAGCCATCCCACCCATGGGTCCTCCTGCATCTCCGGCCATGTGTCCGCCACTGATCCGTGCGCCGTGGGGTGCCATACGCTGCTGCTGCTGCTGCTGCTGCTGCTGTAAATGTTGCATCTGCTGATGATGAGACTGTTGTTGCAATCCGTGGTGGTGCTCTGGAGCGCCATACCCAGCACCAACCATCCCGCCCCAGCCTAGGCGGTCATGAGCCATAGCACTCATCCCGGGCAGACCTGCCATTCCACCCATAGGGCTCATACCCATGGTTGAGGCGGCCGTAGCTGAGGCTGCGCTCATCCCACCCAGTCCGTTGGTTGCTGTTGTAGGTCCTGGTACTCCGGATGGGTCCATTATTCCGAAGTCACGACTACGCTTGTTGGCAGCTGCGCGGCTCTGTTGAGCGCCTACGCTGTGACGAATCGGCCCTCCCCCACTACTTCCATTCCCGCTGCCACTGCCGCTACCATTAGTATTGGGTGTAACGGAGCCTTGCAACATCATATTCTGTGAGCCGGACCATCCTAGATCGCCGGATCTAGATCCACTTTTGTGCATGACGTGGTGCATAGAAGAATCTATGTAGCGCTGTTGTTGCTGTTGTGTTGGCTGTTGCTGCTGCTGCTGGTGTGATAAACGCGTATCGTGACGAGCATCTGTCGAATACAGGTTGTTAGGATGAGCGTGCATCATGTGTGGTAATGGACTCTGACTTGGATGAAGCTGCTGCTGTGGTTGTTGCTGCTGCTGTATCTGTGAGGATGAATTGTACTGGTACGGTGTCTGGGCAGAGTGCAGTTGCGAAGAGTGAACCTGGCGCTGAAGTTGTTGATGTTGCTGTTGTTGCTGTTGCTGTTGTTGTTGTTGTTGTTGTTGTTGTTGTTGTTTCTGAAGTTGATGTTGCTGTTGCGCCTGGCTCTGCTGAGGATGCGGCGAATGCGGGTGATGCTGATACTGCGGCTGTTGCTGCTGCTGACCCTTTTTTAATGCGTCGTCCAAAATCTGTTGTGGATGTGGAAGCTGCGCTGACGCTGAAGGAGTTCTCCGCATGGCGTCCGTATCATCCATACCCCTCCTCGATGGGTCCACGGACGACTGCGAAGAAGACGACGCTGCATCCATTGGGTTTGAGGAGTGCATCCCTCCACCGCCGCTACCGCCACCTGCGGAGCTGGAAGGGGTCATAGACCCGACTTCGTTCTGGTATGAGAACTGGAAACCAGAGGAAGAAGATGAGGAGGGTCCATCGTGCCCGCCGCTGCCGTTGCTGTAGGGGTTGCTGTGATTGCTGTTGGTGGATTGGAGTGGCGGCAGGACAGGCGGAGTCGCAGGACCGGGAGCACCGTATGGACTGGGATAGGCAGCAGTGTGAAAATTCATGCTATGGTTCATGGCACCATATAAGGATCCGTAGCCACCATAAGTGGAGTTCTGGCCTGCAGTCATCAGTGAAGGGTCGGATTGAAAATGTGCGGAGGGGTTGGCCATTGAAGAGACGTAGTGTTCTTTCCTCGTGCGGTTTTGTGGCACAGTGAACCAAAATAAAAATATTTATGTAAAAAAGGTGCGCTCGTCTCGTATCTGCTTGTGAAGGATTGACTGAAGTTTGCAGCAGGATGGAGAGAAAAAGAAGGCGAGGCGAGGATAAAGAGAGAGGGTCAAAGATGTCAATTGGCTTTTTCTTTCTTTTTTTTTTTACTTCAGGCCCGATCCGACTACGAGCCCCATCCCTCCTATCTTTATGGCCACCTGGTAATTTTTTTTTTTTTTTTTTTTTTTTTTTTTGGAGGCCATGCAGCATGTGCGTACGCAAAGATAGGAAAATTTGCTCGTGAATGGTAGGTGGATTCATCCAATTGCTATTTGAAGCGAACAAACAATGCTTTCCACGAATTCATTTCAGATCGGCCTCCAGTTCCTGGCCCCAGCAAGAACTTGATCTGTCCGCCCTAGTCACGTTAGATCCATTACGCTGGGCCACAATAACCTCGGGCGATGATGATATTGTCTCGTACTAGGTACTAGGCGCTATCCACTAGTCCCGGCTGAATTCCAACTATTGTTCTCGTACATTCGCCCTGCCCTCATGCCCTGAATTAGGAAGCTTGCTCACCTTTACCTCCTCAACTGAGATCCAGCCAATATTCGATGCGCCTGTTGAATTGAGGAATGGAGAAGAAAGGTATGGCGGATCAGTGCTGAGATTGTGTCAGACCTTGAAATGAAGACGGGGTACATCATACACGTTTTACGAGGTATCAAACACCCTGAAACATCAAGGGTAGAATGCTTCAGAATAGTAAGGCCATCATCGCCTCGTTTGTGCAGAGGAGCAAACAGCCACTCGACAATTTAGTCCATCTTGTACCACAGGGACTCAATTGGCTCCAGCAGTCAAGTCTTCTCTGACCATCATGCACTTTTTTGTGTTCACGTTAATGTTCATGCGATTGTTTGGGGACGGTGAGGAGGGAGGTGCTATTGAGCGCTGAGAAGCAGACGATAGCCTCGGATATGGCAAGTCAGAGACAGGCGGGCCGGACAATTAAACATAACAACATCAACCCCTACAGCAGCCATGTTCGACATACGCGCGCACTTTGATAACAGGGCACGATGCAATGGTGCTTTATACATGGTGTGCAGTGTCCATGATGACAGGATCAATATGATAGGACTCAGAACAGACATAGGTATGAAAGAGTTATGTATGCATCCATTTGCATGAATGCTCTTTAAACGTTTTGTTGTATTATGTGTATGCGCATGTGCATGTGTACGCGCGGTCGTATCAGAGAGATATCGAGATCGATGATAAGCTGTGAAAGACACGAGCCAGACAAGCAAGGAGCACCAAGGCCACAGCATTCTGGATATTAGACGTTCGAAAGAACGAGTAGTAAAAACCAGAGGTACATTCGCGCATGTAAAATACTGGTATACACGATAGCGCCACAGACCCAGGCACACAGGCATGCACTCCCGCGCTAGCGATATCTTCCCCCAGTGATTATGTGACCCCAACGGACACCGGCTCACAAAGGCACGAATGCGAGAGAGAAAGAGAGAGAGAGAAAGAGAGAGAGAGAGAGAGAGAGAGAGATGTAAGAGAAAGGGAGGGGAGGGAGACAGGAAGGGGGGGGAGAGCATTGAGGCATGAAGGAGAAACTCTATTGATGAGATGACTTACAGGTAGGGAAAGAAGAATAAGAGAGAGAGAAAGGGATAAAATGGAGCAAATAGTCCGAGACACAGATGCATACAGAGAGACAGAAGCAAGGGAATGGGTTGGGGTGTGTGAAGAGAGAGAGGGAGAGAGAAAGAGAGAAGGAAAGAGAAGAGAGAGAAAGATGAGAAGAGAGAGCAGATGGCAAGAGAGGGAAAGATGGAAGGAAGGATTAGACGGATGGAGGTGGTTTCGAGTGTTTTGTAAGGATACGAAAGAATTATCAAGGACCTAGGATGCCCAAGACGCATCAAACAACAGCAAAAAGGTGCCTGCGCAAATTCCCCTGTTATCTCACTATTCAGTAGAGTGCTATAATTGTCATTCACTTTTCCGTATATCAAACAAGAACTGATGTCTTTTCTGGCCCAAGGCAGCGTCGCTTTCCCTTGTGTTTCTTGGCAGCAATACACAGCTTGCAACCCGTTTACGTCTGCAGAAGCAGAAGCATCGTAATGTGCATGGGCGGACGTTCACAAATTGCATTAGTTCAGGCAGCCGCAGCAGCAGTTAGCCGTAAGAAGGAAGAAAAAATATCCACTGCGTGGTGTGGACAGCAAATTGCGCACTTGCTCGCTATCTTTACTAATCTTTGCCTCCGGATGCCAAATGCGGGACTTCGTCACATTAGTCAAGAAGTAAAAGTTGGAAACAAGGGGGAGACGATGGAATAAAGGGGGGGGTTCCTCAACGGGAGCGATATACTTCTGTGTTGTAGAGCGAGGGATGACGGGAAGGCAGGAGGGAAGCCAAGAGAAAAAAATGAAAGGGGGTAAGGGAGGTGACATTTACACGCACAGAGAAAGAAAAACCATTGGCGATGACAGCATTTGCTGACCCCACATTTTCCCCAGCTTTCCATTTCCTGCTAGCTCGACGCCGATATGGTGTCGAGGTAGAGAACGCGCGCGCGTGAGTGCGGGTGTCTTGGCTAGGATCACAAATGCGCAGGATGGTGGACCCTGGCTAAACGTGCCACCTACAGTTGTGCGAGTACCAGCGACATATTGAGCCAAACCGCAAAATTTGATCTGCAACGCAAGAAGCTGAGGATCTAGCTCGCCTTTTGTCTTGAATGATCCCTGTGCATTCCAACGAAAGACGCTTCTCACCCTCGCTGTGTGCTTATAGGTGATGATGGAGAAAATAGGGGACCCTGCATCAGCGCAGGAATGGACAGGGATCGACAAGGGATTTAGAATTCGTTCAGGTGGACAAGGACACATGAATGTCATTCGTTACCGTCTCTCTGGGCGACATGACACAACTAAGGTTTTATTCAGAGAACTACAGTTGGCTTGTGCGTCTTTCTATTCTCTGTGTACATGTGTGTGTTTCCCAGAGTTGTTGTTTACCCTATGGGTGTGATGTGAAAGAGCCTGGGGGTTATATCTAAGTTTATTTGTGCGGGCGAACAGACGACCATTCTGGCGTTGGTCCGTGCGTGCCACAAGCTCACGCGTTTGTTGTGCTTATTCCATACAACGTGGTTGGACCGTTTATTGCCGCCCTGAACTATCGTTTTACAACCATCCAGTCTGCGGTATACGCCCATCATCAACATGATACATCTACACATCTAGCACAACGATCTATCAGACCCACTCCCCACTGACACAATGGCACACATGCATGCATTGGGTAGCATGGATCAGCTTGGTTCTCAAGAGCCAAAGTGCCCAGAAAAAGCCGTTGCTCTATACATGCCTGTAGTGCATAGGTCACTCTCAAGATAGTTATGCCTTATCAAGTCCACCTGCAGATCTCTTAACTGCACTCTCCCCCTCCCCCTTCAGCATTATCCTCTCCCTCCTGCTATCTCCATGTGCGCGTTGTTGATGGCCTTTATGGGTTTGCAATTCATTGCAGGGCAAGGCCGTGCCTCCAAACATAACTTACAGTCGCAGTCTTGCTGTACTCCTCATGTATACGCTTGCCGATAACCAATTCAAGGGCGACCCCTTCCTTTATCTTTTTGTCCTGATTTGTCTCCTCCCAATTATGGTGGCCATCTTTTCCTGCAAGCTCAAAGGACTCATTTTTTGTCTTTGACCTGGGGCCTGTGACCGGATAGATTGGGTATGGATTTTGCAGGTCGTTGAGTATGAGTGTTTCTTAATGGCCTCCAGACCCTAATACCGTGCATGGCGACACACCTCCGTTTTATATTCCTTTGCCGTGTTCACTTGCTTTCGGAGTATCGTATATTGTAAAGGCTACGCCCTTGAAGCTTATCCCGTTTCCTTCCACAACATCAGGTACTACACCACCGTAGTATCACTTTCTCTATCTTTTTTTCTTTTTTAATACTTTTGCTTTATCGTTTGGTCCACACACATCATCTTACTTCATCAAACGACCTTTTTTCATTGGGAAGAGACATAAGACTGGGCATACAGAAACCGACAGTGTATGTATTTCTGATCATGAGCGAACGCGCGAAGAGAGAGAGACAGAGACGGGAAAGGTTCTTTTTTCTCTGTCTGCCTAAGCAATTTTCAAAGATTCCAGAAACTCACACCCATTCATGTATAGTCTAAAAAGACAAAAAGAAAAAAGAAAACGATGTCCATTTTAGACGGTCAACGAGAGTACGGGAGCTCATTCCCAGTTCCAACAGACATCAGCTCCATTGTTCCGGGGACGATTTTTCAGGACGATGTCCCGCCGCCGACTTTTATTGATGGATCGTATGACCCACCAACACCGCAACAGCAATACCCACCTTCATCTTCATTGTTCAGAGCAACGCCTACAGGGTCATCCACGGGAAACGGGGATAAGCATGTGCAGATTGAGGTCAACTCGACGACCCAGACGGTTCTTATTTCGCTGGGGGTTTGCGTTGGAGTGTTGTTCTTGCTGGGCGTGCTCGCGACGCATTACATCTCACACAAGAACAAGAGGGCGGAGAAGAAGAAGAAAAGGGCTTTGGAAGGAGATGGAGCAGGAGCAGAAGCAGAGGGAGAGAGAGAAGGAGCCAAGTGGGAGAAGGCAAGAGGATTCGGTACAGAAAGCGGCGGCATCGGTTTAGAGTCGCAGCGCGGTTCTGAGGTCAGGATATCAGATTTAGAGACGGTGTTGATCGACGAGAAAGATGGCGGTGTGGGTACGAGACTTGAGAAGGGCAAGAATCCTAGGAAGACCTCTGTTCCGACCCTGGCTAACTGTACGCAAAGTCCGAAACAAAGCAACATAATTGGAGCCGTCGGAATGGCGGTTGGTGGCGGTGGCCATGCTGGCACGGGCTCGTTTCAGATGGGTGCGTCAGGACCACGCGGGGAAGGGGGTGTTAACCCACGCAACTCGTTTATGGACGCCACACAGGTCTTTACGCGTCGACCGAGTATTACACGGACGCCTTCGGCACCGATTGCGCCATTGAGGGCAGCGACGCCGAGGTATAGCCACGAGCATCCTCATCAGGGCGTAAATTTGCAGATTGGGATCTATCCGAACGATGCAGCGCTCCTGGGATCCGGTTTCTCACAGGAGCTGACGAGTCCCATGTTCCCGATATCACCTTCGAGTCTTGGGACCGAGCATATGGACTTTAACCCGTTCGCGTCGCCGCCGCCCTCGGCAGGATCCAAATCGAGTCTCTTTCTGGATCCGTTCCGGACCCATAATAATAGTCAGCTTAGTCTGAATCTGATCATGACGAACGACGACAGCGCCGTGCTCGCAGAGGATGATGGCCCTTACCCATTTCCTACGGCATCAGCTTCAGACAGCGACACCAAGCCTAACTCGTTTTCTCCTGACGGACTCTCCTCCTCGTCCCCCACCGGTGCTCCACCTCTACCTCCCCGGTCTCTCGACGACCTCTCGGAACCGAAGCTCGTTCTACGGCACTTCCAGTCCTCGATCTCAGCCGACCACCGCTACACACTCATGCGTACAAGCTCAAACACCTCATCTGACTCGCCACCGCACGGCGTCTTTGGCCCCTCCTTTCTTAGTTCCCCCGCGACACGACCCGGGGTCGAGCGACAAGCTGGGTTCAGTCCAGGCGTGGCCGACCGACGATCGATTGCCGGGAGCGTTGTGACACCAACACCAACAGCCGAATGCTATTCTCCGGGTGGATCCATTAACGAGGGCAATGCCTGGTATCGCCGACGTGCAAGTGTGATCATACCAGAGAGTGGGAGTGCTCATGTGCGCCTCTGGAAGGATGGAGAGAGTTCGCCTAGGATCGCGAATCGGTCCAGTCGGTCCGAATCCCAGTCTTCATCGCATTCAGACCATTCTCATGAGTCGTCCATAGGGCCTTCACCCCTGGGACAGAGCCGGGCGCAAAAGGATACAGACGCCGTGTCGCAGGATCCACCGCAACAGCAGCAACAGGAATTGATCACGCAGGAGCAGGACAAGTTGAAGAGTGGTCGAGACGAGGAGGAGAATGGGCTCTTGCGCAAGACGACACGCAACGGTGCTGCAGTATTTGAGGGAACCCAGAGTAACAAGGGTAGCGGTATCTCAAGGTCACCTTCGCCTGCACCAGTAGTTGTGGAACCAGGGCAGGAGTCGTCGAGTGACGTGGCAGATAGGACCAAGAGTGAGCAGGAGGAGGTTGATCAGGTCGTGGTGAGGTTGCGTACGCCTCGACGCGAAAGCCATACCGGTAGTACACATGGCAATCGACGCAGTTACCTGGATGACTACCGTGAACAGCAACAGCAACAGCAACAGCAGCAACAACCACGGCAACACTAACAGCAATCAAAGTAATCGATCGAGTCCACGACAATAAATATATTTTAGAATAACTTAATATGATTCATTCATTCAAAAAATTAAATTCTTTAGAGGTTTACACCACATTTCAGAGGTTCGCGCCAAAGCAGGCAACTTAACCGCTGTTCTCATCAACTTCATCGTCGACATCCACTTCGCTCAAGCAAATAGCATATCGCGTCAATATGGCTGCTACGCACCACAGATTACCACTATCTCCGCCACTGCCACCATAACCTCGTATTCCACCGATTTGATCTGAAGTTCTTGGTGCTCCTTGACCAAAATAAATAAATAAATGGAAAACAGCATTACTATTCCAGCCGAGCTCCAAGGATATGGTTGCTCGCTTATCGACAGCGGATCTTCGTGTCTTAAACTTCTTTGACAAAATACCCGTGGACACCCTAAAATTCCAAAACTGAAAACTGATAACAATAATGCTTTTACCATAACCATTTCATTTCCTCAAAAGCTGTTATATGAAGACACATGTACATGGCTTTATCTTATAAGAATCTAAGAAGCCTTCTTCCTTTTATGAGAAATATGTACACTGGATGAGGAAGTAACAGGCTAGAGCGGGTCAGCATAAGATGAAATGTGATGAGGGAGAGAGAGAAAGAAAGAAAAAAGCGTCTAAGTATGCTACGAGCAAAAACAGAGAAAAAATAACCGGGAAAGATGAGAGCGAAGAAAGAACAGAGGAAAAGGAGGAGGGGGAGAAAAAGATAAGAGAAAGCATCAAAAATGATGACGGCGACTAGCCATGAGCTGTCGCTGTTGCGATCGCCACAGGCGACAGAGTTTGATCGTGCTCGTCGACTGCAGTGATCGCCATGGGATCCTCTGAGTTACCAGTGAGGCTGGCCATGATGACCGTGGCCGATGGAACTGGGAGCACGGATGAAGCCGACGGAGTCTCCGAGGCAGGGGCCCTGGCATTGACCGGACAGGGCACATTGTCGACGTTTAAGCTGAAGGATGGTTTCCAAACCCAAGACAGGCCCCATACATGCATGTTGCCACTAATGACGAGGTTGATCCCTGGGATGACAGTGTCAGTGTTTGGATCAATAGGTGTGCAGACCTCAAACAGTTTCTGAAGGACTGCATCCGAGCTTAGGTCTATACGGAGAGATTTGTAGTCGAGGTTCATGGGTATGGAAATGACCTGGGCGGTGCGGGGCTGGATCACGGAAGACGAGGGGAGGTTGTTGTTGTCGGCGATCTTTGTCTGGTTGAGCTTAAGCTGTACCTATTGTAAAGAAGGAGAGCGTTTTAACAATTAGTATGTTGAAACACGGCATTCATCCAAATAATACTGAACAGGGAAAGCGTGTGTTCTAAGAAACTTACAATGATGTCGATAACACTGAGTCGGAGAGGGAGGTAGTTGCTCTTGCTGTCAACCATGAGCTGGATCGCAAACGGCTCCCGGATCCGGTCCCTGGTCACTACAGGCGGACCGGTAGCAGAGACCGACTCGAACATGAACGCAGGCGTCCGCGGGATCAGGAAGTACAGCGTCACTGCCAGGCAGACCAGGAGTCCGAACGCAATGCACGCGCACGTTCGCGTAATGCAGCAGCAGCATCGCCTCTGTCTGTCATCTTCTCTGCGACCCCTCATTCTCCTTCTCCTTTGACTCTCCATCTCTCCAGGGCCGACCCTTCGTCTTCTTCGAGACCGGTCCTGGCTTTCCTCCTCAGACTCGTCTGTCCACTGTCCCTTTCTGCGCGACCGCCCGCTGCCATAGGTGGTTCCGCTACGAGTGCCTCCGCTTCGAGAGGCACCACTGTCGGTACTGATCACGCCCAATTTCTGCAAGATCACTTCGTCCTCCTCTTCCTCTTCTGTCCTGGGCTTCTTAGTTCCTGAAAATTCCGTCTTTGAGGGTTGAGATGTATACGATTGTTGCAGAGAATTGATCTGCGCCTTGTTGCCAAGGGTCGTCAAGGTGTCCTTGTCCTTGTCCTTCTCTGATAGTGTTGGTGCCACACATGATGCTGCAGTTTCGCTTGAGACCGTTGGAGCTCGTTTTGGAGGGTTGCCCGGTTCGTAGAATGAGTTCGACAGCGCTTGACTCGATTCCTGGCCAGCCAGGTCTCTCATCGGGTATCGTGTGGTGTTATTATTACCACTGTTATGCTGATGCTGCTGGTTAGTCAAGCCCGAAAACCGGGATTCAAACGAGGATGAAAAATCATCGTTGGGGTTGGGTGACCCATTTCCTGACCACTGACTGTTGGTCTGGTTGTGAGCCGATTGCGAGAACGCAGACCGGTATGGATCTGCCTTTTGCTCAGTCCGTTCCTCATAAGCATGGCCAGTGTGGAGAGGCCCCAGTCCTGGCGAGGAATAACTCGAACTAGACCGGTATGCGTCAATGATGGATGGCGATGGCAGCGCCTGCTGATTGCTGTAGGGTTGATATGGCAAGTACGCCTGGAAGGGCGATTCAGGTCGTGCGCTGTAACTTGCTGCAAGGGTCTGGCTTGCAGTCAGCGTTGGAGATTGGCGGTAGTGATCCTCCCTGTGTGCAATTGAAGGCGGGGCCAGTGGAAATGCCGGGTCGTCTGCCAGATGAGGAGGGATATCGTGCACATCCTCAGAAGACCCATGGCCGCTGTAGTACGGCAGCGGTTGCTGAGGGAGCGTCGTCGTATGGGGGGATTGGGCTTGGTAGTCTATAAACAGCGCACAGTGTCAGGGAACCAGAAGTGAATATAGGGTGTCCCCCCTTTGATGGAGAAGCTGCCAAGTTCAGCTGGGACCCGTAAAATGGACGAGGAAAAAAAATGTCGCAGCTTCTAGTTCTTCACTCCTATGGGATCCATAGTAATCGCTGGTGCTCTCATCAGCAGTCTTCCTTCTTACTGCTTCTCCCTCAAATGCTCTCAATTGAATCACGAACTACAGTGTGGTGTCCATATCTCCTAATTCTCGCTGTTTCTCCCTTTTCCCCAGCACCTCACATTGCTACAACAATGGCTTACATGAGCCCATGTTCTTCAATGGGAGACTAAGAGATATGAATGCTTGGGTGTGATGGGAAGTAAATAGGTCGCACGACAGAGAGATGGGCAATAGCAGACAGATGCAGCGAGACAACATTCTGCTACCCGGGCAGACATGAGTGCACTTGTACGCCTTTTTTTTCTTCTTCTTCAGCAGTTCTTATTGTAAACCAAGCCGCCCCCTTTCGCTTAAGGACCCAACAGCGGCGACACAATACGCAGAAGGCTCCTTCTCTGTCTCTCTAGTCGCGCTTTTTTTTTATATCTATGCCCGCGCCTGTTCTTCCTCCCCTGTTGTAGTATACATTTACAGTAACGTGTACGACAGAATGCCCTTATGCTCGATCGAGGCCACGGCCGATTGCATTTTCTTCTTCCCCTCCTCGCATTTCTCACGCAACATGAACTCAAAAGTCGCACTGGAGAGTTGCGAAGAGAGAAATCATGATGGGGGAGGGATTTTTTTTCTTTTTTTTTTGTGCCACCTGTTTGTTTGTTTGCCCAATCTAATTGCTTTATCGCGTCCTTTATCCAACCTTTTGTTGTTGATATGAAAGAAAAAAAACGAGATGTGTATGTGTTGATAGAGAGAGGCGATGATATTTTTTGCCAGATGTCGCGCGCTCGATTGAGTCGCCACGATACATTAGAGGCGAAATGTTGAAGGGGGAAAACAATTAACCAAATTCAACCATCTCGGACATATTAACCATGCATGGTCCTTCGAAATGAACATGCCTCCCCCACCCCCGATTCCATAGTGCCACCCATGAATTTCAGATCTAAGCTCTCCCCCTCCCTTCCCCGGAGTCTCCGGTTCTTGATCAATCATTGGGGTTTTTCTTACCATTTTTAACTCTATTCGCAGAAACACCTGGTTGACGCGATCGATAAGGATCGTACAGTGAAGACTCGCTGCTGGGCACCCGCCGTGTACTGGAAGCACGTTGTGCTTTTGTGTATGGATGTAGCCCTCCGGCTGTACTAGGTGCCACTACGGTTTTGGACTGACCGCTACTGTTGCTGGTGCTGGTACTGCTAAAGGCGGGTGAGTGGTCCATTCGAGGCGACACAGGGAAACCAGATCCCATGGCGGCCAGTGTTGGAGTCGCAGGCATTGACATCGTCAAGGCGTGCAGAGCCGTTGGAGTGGTGGGGGTGGTGGGGGTGTAGGGTCGATAGGAGGGATAATGGGCGCCGTAGGTCTGAAGCTGGGTTGAACTTCCAGCGGTGTTGCCCCTACTTTGAAGATCATGGTTATGAGAGGGTAGCTGCTGTCTTGGATGCGCCTGTCCATGCTGCTGCTGTTGCTGATGCTGATGTTGAGAGGGTAGACTATTTATACTCGAGAGCGAAGTGGTGCTGGAGACCTGAGATGGCAGCGACTTTGGTGTGCCGAGCAGATGGAGCTCTGGAGGGGTCGGCCTGCTGTTGTGTCGCGTCCGCGGGTTCCGTGGCGCCAATGTCTCCATGGCTAGGATGAATGGTTGTTGGTTGTTGGTAATATGGATAAAGGAAGACAGAGGGAGAGAGGGGGAAGAAGGGCGAGGGGGTTATGTGTCCGTAGCTCAGCCGTCCTGGTTCCTTTGTTTCGTCCCTTTACTTCATGAAGACAACTGTACGAACTCACTCTCGCTCTTTGTTCATTCACACACACTCTCTTTATCGGACGACCCCAGCAACTCCAGTTTGTTGACCACGCGATGTCGATGAGCAAGATAAGGGATAGGATTGAAAAGGATAGTTAATCGACAAGGCTGGACAGATGTGGATGGTCGGGGCACAACAGTGGGATGCAAAGGATGAAATGAAAAGGGCGGGAGGAATAGAAGCAAAGGAAAGGAAGGTTCTTTGTTTGCTAGGAGGTGGTGGTTGATGGTAGCGGCGGTGGTGGTGGCTGTGGAGAGGGTGCCAGGGGGAGGTGTGAAAGCCGAGTCCGGGGAGGGATATGAAAAGGCGGTGACAATTGGGCGAGTGAGCGAGTGGCGAGCAGAGGGTGGCGAAGAGGGTGAGAGGAGGAGGAGGAGAAGAAGGGGAGGAAGGAGGGATGGGCTGATGGATGGAATGGAGGATCGGATGAAAAGAAGAGGACAAAGGCTGTAATGCTGTTTGCTGTGGACGTGTATGAAGAGACAGACAATGATGTGATATGGGAATATTCAAAAAAAGAAGGGCGGGAAAGAATGAAAAAAGAGTGGGTGGGGGCATCCATATGCCAGTATGCCAGTATCCTGCCCTCCTTCCCCTTTCTCCCCCCCCCCTCCTTCAGCACGGAGGGGAGAGAGCGAGAGAATACGAGGGAGGCTCATTCGTCCCGCATCGGTGCCTGGCAGTGGCCGTGTTCCAGATCTCGCAGTCTCTCTGGATCGTGTCCCAGATCCCGTCATTTTTTATTTTTTATTTCCCTTTCTCTCTTCTCGCTCTTTTCAGCCGGTACGAGGAAGCGAGGACGGGAAACGGCTTCCTTCAAGTCGACTTTTGTCGAAGGAGGGTGATGGGAAAAACAAGCTTCGGTCCAAGAACAGCCAACTGGAAACAGCACCCAAACAACCGATGGAAATGGAATGAATGAACATGTATAATAAGCATAAAGCGTGGAACCCTTGAACACAAACGTGGCCTGGGAACTTTGCTTGTTTACAAGTACATGTACAGCAGATACTTGTTTGTTGCCTACAGTACAAAAGTAGGCCTTCTCTCGTGGCGGCAGGTTGGCTATTCATAGGGGAGAAATGAGAAATGTAAACGATGGACACGTGTGCATGGATTCCCAGCGGAGATGACGAGCTTTGTCCAAATCCAATCCGGTTGCCCATCCTCAATGCTCCCCCCTGGTTGTAATACACTGCCTTTGCCGCAGAGCGCGTGCATGCATGACCTTGTTCCTGTCTCTCTACCCCGCGAATGAGTGCCATGAGAGCACATTCTCCCAAGAAGCACGAAGGGGGAACCGCCTAGACCATCCAATCGTTGCGTCCGAGCACCCACCCCCTGTGCCACGGAGAAGGGGAGGGGGAACAAGGGCGATTCTCAGTCCCCCTCCCCCCTCCTTTCATTCTTGCCCTCCCTCCTGAGATACACGTAATCCCCTGCGGCTCATTAAATGAAAATAAGGCATCCTGTCCAGGCCCTGAGCTGCAGTGTCATCGTCATTTCTTGAGCTCTGACTTCATAACACATGCGTGCTATCATTATCGACTACGACTACGACTACGACTACGACTACGACTAACCACGAGCACCATGGAAATGGTAGACAAAGAAATACGTGTACAGTGTGCAGCATAATGCAGTTGCCGCCCAAGACAAATCCATTCAGATTTACAATTGGATCTCGCTTCACTGTACATGTTGTATGCATGTTGCGTGTTGCATGTAACATGTGGCATGTCCCTTTTTTATTAATTGAAGGAGATTCACTCAAGGTCACTCTGGCCAAATAGCCGAGCTACGATCGTGATGACCATGTTGATGGTTGCAAGCTTGCTCCCTGAGTCGCTCTAAAAATGAACAGATATCAAAAATAGAATCCGGGTGAAAATGTATTAATTAAAGCCGAAGATGTTTGTTAACGTACAGAACGAGGAGAGGACATCATTGATCTTTATCGGTTGTTCGAGCAAAAGATATTTTCGTACGATTTGTTTCTATCTCCTTCCATGTTTCGCCTGTTGGGTCCATCCACCATAAAAGAGGAAGGAAGAGCAAACATGGTACAGCATAAAACTGGCAATTGGGGAAACGTTGTGCTTACGTTGAGATGTGATCGGATACGTGCACATTTCTTGGCCAGACTCCTGAGAATGGATGTCTGGTCGGATTCCACGAGTGGATCGAGTTTCAGGAATAATGCGTACATCCACCGTCCCTAGAAATCCGCGAGGCAGCAATATAAACACGTTTAGTCCGCTTATTAAAAACCTGAAATCCAAAGGACAAAGACGCGCGTTGTTCAACCAGGATCGCAAAGACTTACTTCCTGCTCGGAGACATCGTCCTCTGCAAGCCAGCGTAGATGATACTTCAGTAACTGGATCAAGTGGCCTTGATTGAGACGCATAAGAAACCGAGGCTGGGGCATCATCCCCTGTCCTGGGCTCCGTAGTGTGGATGACTCCGTTGCCTGTATTGCTTCAGACTCTTGAGTAGATGTCAATAGTGTGGTAGTTGTTGATGCCGCAGTGGATCCTGGTACCGACATCGATACAACATTCGATCCATACAAAAGTGTGCGCCATCCTCGCTCGTCGAACATTTGTGGAAGTGTAATAGTTGCAGGGTTGACGGTTGACAGTAATGTCGAAGATGTTTCATTCGAGCCATCATGAGTAGATATCCGGCATTGTCCATCCTGCTGATCCTCAACGGATGAACTGGTCTGTATCCTCCGCCGTTTTTCTGGGCGTCCCTGGCGCTGCGAGTACTCCTTGAAGTTGGCACGGGCGGTCATAAACTCGTCCATGAAGCATTCCCTCCACTCGGCTGTTGGAGCACAACCCTTTGGCGCTGGGTGACATGAATTCCAGTCAGTCCTGTACTTTAGCGACGTGTTTTTGACGGAGAGGTATTCTTGTGCCTTTGGAGCTACAACGACTGCGGGACATGACCGTGCCTGCGCTCTAGGTTGCAGAACAACAAGGGTCCAGTCAGTGCGTGGACAGGTACACAATGCTAAGTTGATGCATCCCAACACTCGCCACCGACCTCACCATTCGCAAGTATTCCTCTCCTGAACTGGGAAGCATCTCATCCATGGTTGGTCGTCGTTGTCCTGTTCTTGCGATGGGGGAGTCACTTGCGTCGTGTGTGGCCAATGCTATGCTAGCGCCCCGTAGCTGGATATGGTGGATCAGAGGATAGCCCCCCTTAACCAGCAGTCCTTTGTTTGTTGCCTATTTCGATTTTTTTTTTTTTTTCTTGAACTTCGCATCGTCCATCGTTCTCCACTCTTTTCAGGACCCATCAAACAACGCAACATACCTTCACCGCCATGTCTTCTCTTCGCAATGCCGTCCAGCGGCGCAACCACAAAGAGCGTGCACAACCTTTGGCTCGTCAGAAATACGGTCTCCTCGAGAAGAAAAAAGACTATGTCGCTCGTGCACGGGACTATCACTCTAAACAGGACCGTCTCAAGGCGATGCGGGAGAAGGCTGCGTTCCGCAACCCGGACGAATTCTACTTCAAGATGATCAGCACCCGGACCAAGGATGGTGTCCATCTCGTGGAGCGTAACGAGAAGTTCTCGAGCGATTTTCTGAAGCTTCTCAACACCCAGGATATGAACTATGTGACCCAGCAGCGGGATATCGGACGCAAGAGGATCGAACGCATGCAGCAAGGACTTGTGCTTCTGGACGATGAGGTCCGTGAGGATCAGGAGGACGAGGACGAAGATATGGACAGGATCGGGGGGAGCAGCAGTTTCAAGACGATACAGAAGCCGAAGAACCATGTTGTCTTCGTTGACAATGAGGAAGAAGGCATGTGAAGACGATCTCAATCTGGCTATTCAACGTTTTCAATCGTCCGTCGCAATAACATGGACATCCAGACAACTAACATTTCATTTTCTTAATACTACAAAACACTTTTACAGTCAAGACGTTTGATCCTGCAAAGCACTTTGATACCGCACCGGAGCTCGTGTACAGAAAGTTCAACAGACCTAGGACAGAGCAGCTGAAGAAAGATCTGACGGTCTCACACCTCGAAAAGGCCGACATCAAAGCTGCAGCCAAGGAACGCGAGCGTGCATTGACCGAGCTGGCCTCGAGAATGGAACGAGAGGAGACAATGGCGAAACTGGAGCAGGAAATGGCATTGAGAAAGAATTTGATGCTCAAGGGTCGGAAGAGGAAGGTTGGCGTCGATAAGGATGGTCTGGCCAAGTACAAGTGGAAGGCGGACCGCAAGAAGTAGAAAGCAGCAGAATCAAGAGGTGGTCTCATTCTGGTTGGATACACGCAATAAACTGTACAATAGCTTCACAATAGACATTGGATCTATTTTAAAAAAAGCGCCCAGCTATGAGCTTTTTGTGCAAAACCTATTGCTATGATGCTTAGATCTTGAGACCGTAGCGCTTGGCAGTGAAAAGATCGAGTACTTGTTCCCGTGTGAAGAACTCTGTGATCTCCTTTTCGAACTCGGCGGGTCGCTCGAACGCAGCAAAGTGTCCCCCCTTCGGGAATTCGTGCCACGAGATGACGTTCATCCAGTCGCTATCGATTGAAGGATGTGGACAAAAAGAGTGCACCAGTGTTTAGCCATTGACAACAGTCAAGCATATCATATCCGAATCATGGCGACTTACTCGGCCCATGCTTTGGGGACCATGAAGAGCTCCTTATTCCAGACACCCACACCAACAAGCACGTTCGGTGGGACAGGTTGCTGAAGCAACCAGTCGATGTCACGGTTATGATACGCCTCATAGTAGATCCTGGTCGACGAAGTAATTGTCTGAGTAGAATGGTAGATCATGACCTGCGTCAACAGCTCCGTCTTTGAAAATGGCCAGGTCTCAGGACGAAGAGGATCTAGATCTGCCCAATCCAAGTACTTCTCCCCCAACCAGGAGAGCAGACCCACGGGCGAGTCCGTCAGGGCATGTCCGAGCGTCTGGGGCTTTGTGGCCTGGATGAAGAAATACGCGCCTTCCTCGGCTGCATAGCGTTTGAGGCCCTCGATCGAGGCCCGTTCGCGAGAATTTTTCTTGTAGACAACCGAGGGCAGCAAGAAGCCGGTGATGGCCTTTGCGAACTGGAACGGACGCGTCCAGGGTCGCGGCGGCAGACAGGGCAGCATGTTGACGTGGATGGCAAGGCAGTGCTCGGGGTAGAGCGTGGCGATGGTGCGGGAGATGATGGCGCCCCAGTCTCCGCCTTGCGCGAGGTAGTGCTTGTAGCCGAGGTGCTGCATCAGCTCGTGGAGGGTTTTGGCCATAGCCCTCACGCCAAACTTCTTCTGCGATGGTGCTATAATGGAGAAGGAAAGACAATATCAGGGTAACGAATACACTTGCCGGCTTCCCTCCACGGATACATCGCTGCATGCTTCAAAGTAGCAATGTATATATGTACCTTGACTCCATCCGAAGCCAGGAAGCGAAGGCACAATGATCTGGAAGCGTCCTCGCTTCTTTAGCAGCTCGATAACCTTTCCGAATTCGTACCAGGTGCCAGGCCACCCATGGATCAAGAGCAGCGGCATGATGATTTCTCCTTTTTCATTAACCATTTTCTTGCCGGCAAAGGGCTCCTGAAGGGGTTTGCCCGTCACTGGATCCTGTACCTCCTCAGCCCAGGGGTCGTGCCGGACGTAGTGGATGTCCAGTCCATTGACTTTGCAGGTCCAATGCTCGTAATCGCTGTTCAGCTGGTCCAGTTCCTTCGCCCAATCATAGTTGTGCCTCCACTCATAGACGAGCGTCTTGAGGAGGTTGGACTCCATGCCATAGCTCCACCCTGCCGACTCGATTTGATCTGGATAGCGTGCTTCGGCTAAACGGGTCTTGAGCGAAGAAAGGAGGTTGGATTCTCGAGCCGAGAGTTCCAGCCGACGAGGGACTGCTGGGTCGAAGGCAGCCTTTTCACCGACCTCGTCCACTTCGTTCTTAAAATGGTCGTGTGTGGCTCCTGCACCCTCGCTGATAGTCTTTTCATGGATGGAAACAAAGCTATCCTCAAGGAAAGTGACATGAAATTCCTTTGACATTGTTGCGTGGAAGATGTAGCGGTTGGTGTTTGGGTCGTGTGCTGCTTTCTTGACGGGTTTTTTTTCGGAATACAAAATTGGGGGCGTTGAAGACCTTCGGTATACCTGGGGGAAAAACGCGAAGAGGTAGGAGGAGACGATGAAAGAAAGAAGAAATGAAAGAATGAAAGAAGCGAATGAAAGAGGAATGAGAAAGAAAGGTTTCGCCCAAGCTCTCTTGGGCGTATAGTTCGGCTGGCAGAGGCCATTCGTGACACTTTGAAAGAACTCTCTTCTAAGTAAGGTCTACCTTGGTTCGTGTTCATTTTTTTTGAAGTCGCGTCGTGTCAACGGCGTACAAAAAACACTGATTTGATCCATACTTGTACTTGTGGCAGTGAAGGGGGTTTTATTCATGTAATAGATAATGATAAAACGACGAGGATGAGTGGTATCATGCCGGGCCGAGGGGTCTATTGTCGCGGTTGAAAGAAAGAAAAAACTAGAAGCAAGCAGCAAGCGAACTAAAACAAAACATTACAATGAAGCGAAAGAGAAGGTGAAGGGAAGACGAAAAATAATGATATTACGGGTGGATAATGGTCCGTGTGGGATGTACAAGGGGATGAACTGGGTCTCGTTTTCGTTTCCGTCTCCAGTTCGCAAATGCGTCGGCTTTTACAACCCATCGTGGGTAGGGGTTGGATCCGCTCCTGCTCCTGATCTCTTGACCCTGAGATACAAGTGTCTAATTTGGTCTGTGTGGCCGTGTGCTTAGATGTGCTTGCTCTTTGAGGTCTTCTTGGCCGAACCGTTGGTCTTGACGGTCTTGGGTGTGAAGTTGCTTCCACGCTCCTTGGCAGCCTTAGCCTTGGCGTTGTAGGTCAGGCGGTAGAAGTTGATGAAGAGCAAAAGGTAGCTGGAAAGCAGACCACAGCCAAAAAGCGCAGCGCCCTCGGTACCAGCACACTTGCCGGCGTTGGGGAAGGCGGGGTAGTAGGTGAAGGCGAAGTAGGTGTAGGAGCAGAAGTAGATGAATCCGAGGTCGAGGACGAACTGGACGATCTGAAGGGTGGTGAGGTATTGCTTCCACCAGATGCGGACACCGGCAGCAGAGCGCATGTAGTAGTAGTACATCAACACGTGGACAGTCAAGTTCAAGACGATAGGAACCCAGGAGACCGAGGTGTGGCCGCCGAGCTGGACGAAGCAAAGGATCATGGTCATCGAGTGGTGGAAGTAGTGCAAGAACTCTATTGAGATACCGTAGATCAGGCAAGATACGAAGGTTAGCGTCGTCAGCGATCTGCAGTTCAGGAACACGGCATAGAGGGCTCCACATCTCTTTTCTTATTCCGACGACCCAGGTCCTGAGCGGGAAAACATGAGAAAGATAGGCACGATGTCATTTTTTCCCAATTGAATACAGGAAAAACAGAGCAGGCCTATCATCGGGAGAGAGAGCAATTGATCTGGCTTCTCCTTATTCGAAGAAAAAGAAAAGATGGGAAGGGGACAATTCGTTTTTCCCCAAGCATGTCCCTGAGCTGAAGATCTGGTGTAGCCACAAGAAATGGTACGACGATCTTATCCTGAATAGATTAGGATTAGGCCAGGGACGAGACGCCTTCAATTCGTTGTGGAACACTGATGCAGATACAAAGAATAAGAATAGCGTGGCAACTGCTGGTGATAACGAGCGATTGCACGCGGCATCGACAATCAAACAGCAGCAGCACAGACAAAATCCGCCTGCAGCAAGTGTACAGTAAATCCCAACAAAATAAAAGAGAAAGACACAAACAGAGACCCTCCCTGATCCAGAAAGATTGACGACAGCGCATAACGTACCAAGGGGCTTCTTCTTGAGAACCAGGAAGACAGTGTCGGCCAGCTCCCAGTACTTGACGAGATAGTTGAGGTAGTAAAGCAGCTCCAGACGCTGAGTCCAGGCACCGGCGTCGCAGATGGCGTAGAAAAGACCATGTCTGGCAAGGATAGGGACCAGGTTCTCGATGAAGAGGAGGAGCAGGGCACCGGACGCGATTGTCAGCAGGAAGTTGTGGAGGATGAAGAGGCCCTTGAGCTTGAAGGCCTCCTGGCCCTTCATGATCTGGCGGCCGCCAAAGATGACGATGAAGTAGGTGATAGTCCACATGACGACCTCTTGGTTGGTCGAGAGCGGGGTAACGCCCTCTTGGAAGCGGAAGGAGTCGATGGACTTTCCGGTGACGAGTTCATAGGCCTGGCTGAAGTAAGTGTCGAGCTTGATGCCGAAGGGCTGATCAAGACTGAAGTTGACCTTGTCCAGGAATGCGGCGGCCATGGCTTGATGGGATGGAAGGTGCGGGATGAGAGGGATGAGGAAGTAGGAAGAAGAGAAGAAGGAAGAGAAAGAGAAAAGAAAGGAGAGAGGGGGAAAAAGAGATGAGAGGAGCGTGATGAGAGATGAGATTTGCCCCTCAGCCTTGTTTGTCCTGTTGTTGTGATTTCCTTGGACGGAGCAAGCCTGCCTGTCTGCCTGAGCCTCCAAATGCTGCACATATCATCCGCTGCTTAACATGGGCAGTTCATCCACAATCACACGCAAACCACTTGTCTGGAGCGAGATAGAGAGAGCCATATAATATATATATATATATATATATATATATATCTCCATGTCTCCGCTCTTTCTTTTGCAACTCGGTCCCTTGTCTTTTGTCTCTTTTGTCTCTTTTATGGTTCCTTCCCGCTGCACGGCAGCTTCTTTTTCCGACAGAACAGGTTCGGCGGCAGGTTTATATGCTCCACCACCCTTCGTCATCATACCCAGCTCAGTCAGCTCAAAAATGGTTTCTCTTCCACGTGAAATATTCATTCAGGAAGTATATGTGCCTGAATACCTTGCAACAGTACGTCCATCCTTGCTACGTCCGTGTGTGTGTGGAGCATACAGAAGAGGGAGCAAGGCTCTCCATGGCAGCGCAGCAAACTCAATTCCTTCCCTGTGTAGCTTATTCGTGGATATAACGAGCGATTTATTTCCTCGCAGAAATTCAGAGTTCACGCGTTTTCACTTTCGCGCCACGCATACAAAATATTGCCTCCACCATCTATTCCTCTTTGGCAGGAACAAGAGCCAAGGCCTCCTCCAAGGCAGCTTTGAATCCCTCCTGGGGAGGCCCTACAAATGTGACAACACCATCGACCAGCACAATAACGCATGGAATGGCCTTGTAATCGGTCTTTAAGTAAACAGCTTTTTATGGGGGGGAACCAAGTTAGCGCTCTCTCTTTTACTTACTTTCACAATGAGGCAAGTAGAAATATGTGCTGTAGTTTGAGCAAAATTCCAGGGACTTACTGTCTTTGGCATATCCTTCGGGGGTGTCGACGTAGATAGTATAACGGAATCCTTCCTTGTTCTCTTGGAGGAAAGCCCTGATATTCTCAACGTCGTGCTCCTTTTTGCTGAACATGCTCTCGTTGTTCACACCGATGATCGCGACACGACCAACATGCTTCTCGGCCAACTCGGACAGTTCGGGACCAGCATGCACACATGGACCGCACCTGTCACCAATAAAAATAAATAAATAAAGCGTCAAAGGCGATAGCTATGGAGGTCGTTGTCGCGGTGTTAGTACGAAAAACCGTAGCGCTTACCAGGTGGCCCAAAAGTCGAGAACCACAATTCGCTCGTCGCCAGAGTACCTGGGGCCGTTGACATGCTCTAGCGGAGCAATTGCGGCAACGGGGTCAACCTTGGTGCCTAGCAGAGAGCTTTTCCATCCGTCCCTGAAGCATGCTGGAGGACCGGCCTTCAATCTGTCACGGATCTTCTCAAAGGACGTCATCCTGAACTTGGAGAGAACCTCAAAGGGATCCTCGTATCCAATCTCCTTGGATTTGGCCTTGAAATTTTTGACCGCTGCCCAATAGGTATCCTCTTCCCATTTATCGTCGTATTTGTCTTCGAAAGGCTCGTGAATGATTTCACATAGGCATCCTTGAGGAGCTCCTCCTTCGGCTTGGATTCTGTGGCAGAGGAAGTAGTCATGCTGTGTTAGTCTGACGAAGTGCTTTGATGGATTGTTTATGGCAAGCTGTGATAAGTAGTAGTATGGGTAATGAAGTGAGGAAGATAGAGGTTCGAAGGAATATCTTGGCCCGTATTTATTGCTCAGTGCTCCCCCGTCGAGTCCAGGGAAAACGCAGCACTTTTACACAACTTCTTGCAATTGGATGAGAGCGCTTCGGCCAAGGAGCCACGAAACGATGTATTCCATTTGTAGATTGGTCTCGAGAAGCATCAAAGAATAGAGGTGCTTCCGAGCTGAGAGTATTTCCTTTGCTCGCCCCTTCGTTCTTTTCTCTTGGCGCAAACTCAAATTACCCATGCCGAATGGTTGTACAAACGCATGGGAAACCAACCGGCACGCTTTGGTCATTTCTGCGCTCACCACTTTTGGTCGCGAGTGCGTCTCCTTCTCTGACCAATCCTATCGCGCCACTGTTCTCATGGTGGCTAATACGTATTATACTATAGTGTGGTATACCTCTGCAACAGCGAACTCACGCCATCATAGGCTCGATTATGACCACAACCGTACCCTACCCCAGAACACAAAATCAATGAGGGCGTTTCAATACGCTCCTAGACCATTTCTCAGGTACCTGACACGGCTACTTTAAATGGTTCCACGCCTCGTTATGGGCTTTTGCTTACGAGACAACTTTTCTTTGGATGTCGCCGGCTTCCCACATAGTCTACCGACGCTACACCGTGTTAGGATTGATAGAGGATAGAGATAGCGCTTTTCTCTGGAATACGATTATGTACTATATTGAGGGTTATATATGCCAGAGAATACATGCAGGGCAAAGGGTGGGGGCGAGGGCAGAAGGGTTTAATAATAACCATCCAGTTCTTCAGGGTAAACCATCCGTTTGCCGCCTGCCATTTCGAGGAACTTGGCTGTGCATGAAAAGCGCTCACGATCTAGCACCGACAGAAAAAAAAAAAAAAAGGAAGGAGCGTGAACAGCTGGCTCTTGGTCACACAAGAAGCACGCAATAAAGAAGTCTAATCAACAAACACCAAAACGTACTCGCATTCAGAGCCGGGTCGCAATGACATTTTTCTTGAAATCCCGGTTCTGCAAGGCAGTTATAGAACGGTTGATGATAGTATCCGATCTCCCGGAAGAAATGCAACTCGTCGATGGAAAGCAGCAGAGCCGCTGCAATTGAGTGCGCCGGGGCATCACCCCAGCGCTCATAAAAGAACCCTCCCGGACGGTCGAGGTGGTTAAAGAGTTGTTGAAATGCGGCGCCTCGCATCCAGCGCGCATCCACGATCTCGAAATTGGACCAGAAGTGGCAGTTCTATGGTTTAAAAACGAGATTGGATGTTGAAGACGTGAACTTGAGTTGTTTGCACAGGAGACGTTCAAGGTGGCAACGAGACGAGATAGGGAGTGCACATACGTTATACGTCTGACCGCCATTGTCTGAGATGAGACCCAACGCATTTTTCTTCGCCAGGAAATGCGGATAGGTTGCCATGAACTCCTTGATCGAGTTCCACAGACCTCGAATGGTTTCAGGGTACTCGTATAACGATATGGTGAATGCTGCATTTGAAAAAGACAATCTGAGGAAATAATCAAGAAGTAAAGGCAGAACGAACCCAGTCTTACACGGATCCTTATACATACCATATTTCTTGTTGTTGTCCTGCATATAGAGGAAGGGGTCGAAGTCAATGTCGCAGGAGTACTGTACGTCCGGCTCAATACGCCAGTAGTAATCGTACTCGCTCATGGCCTCATGCTGAACCAGAAAGCCGGACTGATACCTAGTAAGTTACTCAGGATCCTTTTCAGTGTCCGTGAGTCATCTCGTATCTTCTCTGGCATTTCCCGAGTCCATTTTGCGCTCACCTGCACATGTGCCGATAACTCTCACTCGCGCCATAAATGATGTTCTTCATCTTCTTCCTCGTCTCAGCTGCCTTCTTCAGCGAGATCCACTCTGGGTAACTCCAGTGATCTTTTGGCACCATGCTAAATGTCATATTTGCTCTGGACATTATCCGCATCCCATCCATGAAGCTGGAACTGAATGACTTGTCGTTCAAGAACACATATGGGTACTGATAATTGCGATTGAATCGGTCCTCGATCTGTTGCACAATGCTTTGGGCTGCGTACAAGTCCTCATTCCGGACTAACATCACAAAGGCAGCCTTTGCTCTGCGTGTCGGAGTTTCTGATGAGGAAAATTTGAAGATCCGCTGCGACGCGGGATGTTGAGCGACAGGACGGAACATGTCCGTGCCCTGGTCGCGTCCCTATAATGATGCGACGTGGTCTGTCGAGTGCCCCATGGATATTTCTTCAAGGTGCTCTACTTCCGGGAGCGTTATTGAGCCCTCCTGTCTCTTCATGGCGTCAAAATGGATTGTAGCCATGCTGGTGCATAGTGCCATAGCCATAAGAACGACCACGGTAGTCGCTGGCGATGATCGGTTTATACTGTTATACCTCATAGTGTCTAATTATCACTAGTCATAGGCTGGCGAAACCGCTTCAAAGATCCAAAATTGCTATCGAAGCACAGATTGGTGAGGAGGATAAAGAGTTCCAGAAAAAAAAAGTCCCCGTCAATGGTCGCTCCTGGAAAAAGCTACGAGATCCTTTAGTACGCAACCTCAAATGGACAGATAACATTCCATTCCTACAATTCCCAACGCGACCGACACTCATGCAGGGGAATGGTGTACAACTTTATTTCGGGGGAGTTCCCTTCTCATCAATTCTCTAAATCGACGCTTGTAGATATCGATAGCACTTTCGATGTTGCCTATCTTACCCTTCCCGAGCAGACATGAACTCGACATCTTCCAACGCCTGCTCCAATGCTGGCCGGAGGGTTTCCTGCGGTGAGCCGACATACTTGACTACCCCGTCCACCAACAAGATTATACAGGGGATTCCTCGATATCCTGCAGGGTTATAAACGGCTATTTAGGATCACACGAGTTGTTGAAGCGACAGTTAGATGATGCGATAATGAATACATATTATGTGTCTAATTATATGAATAAAGATTGCAGCAATGTTCTTCATAAAAAGAGCCGTATTCGATTGGTTCGATCGTGAGATGCAATCATGGAGCCAAGGAACTAAGGTCAACCCGCAAGGGTCATTGACACAATCAGAGGTACAGCGAATGTACTGCTGGATGATAGCAAATCTCTGTATCATTCTCGAAGAGCACTTACTCTCTTTTGCGAAGCCCTCGGCATTGTCGATATAAATTGAGTACCGGAACCCATCACTGTTCTCCTCGAGGAATTCCCGCAATCTTTGTGTGTTGGGCGGCTTTGTCTCACTGAAAATGCTCTCGTTATTGATGCCTACAACTGCTATGCGACCCCAGAATTCGTCTGCGAGGTCTGAAAGCTCCGGTCCTGTCTGTACACAGGGGCCGCACCTAAAGTGGAGTATGGCATCAGACATAAAGTTTCTTTGCAACTTATAATTTGAGATGTTTTGGAACAAGGTTACACTTACCATGACGCCCAGAAATCAAGCACAACTATCCTGTGCTGACCAGCGAACTCGGGTCCGGAAATATGTTCACACTTTTCGAGGATCGCGACGGGGTCAAAGTGCTGTCCGATCAGAGGGCTTATCCATCCGGGGCGAAAGCACATGGCAGGACCCTTCTTGAGATAAGCGCGAGCGGATTCATACGAGTCGATGTTGAACTCTTTAAGGAGCTCGAACGGATCTGTGAACCCGATTTCCTGCGCCCTGGCCTTGAACTCATCCACGGCACGGTCAAAGGGCTTGTCCTCCCATTTGTCCTCGTACTTGTCCTCGAAAGGCTCGCGGATGATCGTGTTATAGGCCTCGATGAGTTGCAGTTCTGTGTCCGTAAGGGGTTGGTTTGGTGCCATGATAGCGTAAGATTAATGTCGGTGGAAGGATAGATGTGGGGAGGTCGCTGGTTGAACAAAATGAATGCGCGTAGAAGTCGGGTGAGATATCACAAACCAAAATTAATTATGCGGTATGTTCGTGGGCTAATTGGCGAAAGGTGGGGTGAGGAATAAAAAGAGTGGGAGCACAAGAGAATTGCTTTCCTTTTATATTGGGCAACAATCTAGGGGACAAAGGATTTGCAGGGGACAAATAGGATTGTATATCCAACGAGTAAGTGCATCGATTGCCAGTTATAGGACAATGCGGGAGAAGAGACATTGCTCTGAATGTAAAAAAGATAGAAGACGACAACAGTCAACAGGAGCACAGGAATGGAGGATGCACATGATTTGAAGGAATTAGCGCGCGAAGGACATGGCGGCCTGAGATAAACACTCAAATTCAGGAACCATTCCAATGTACCTTGTCACATCTACGGAGGACATGTGGGTGAGTAATTGTTCAATTAATAAACAAGAGGTAATGCATGCACCTCGGATGTGGTTGGAAATGACTGTCGCAGGTTGTTGCTTTTCGCCGAGGCATTATGGATGAGAAGAGCATGTTTCCATATGACATTTTATTTGTTTATGCTTGAGCACAAAGTGCCAGGTGAAATATGCTGATTTGTTCCTTTGTCGTCTCTTCACTTTTGACCACAACGATGCTAGTAAAAATAACAAAACCCACTTATTTCTGCATGCGCCATGAGGAATAGATAGAAGAGAGACATGAGTTAGCGGCCCTACGCGGTCTGGACCTTTTCTTGAAATAAGAAATCGGTGATTCCTGCATCCAACGCCCAATCTGTGGCCCACGATTCAAACGCAGGGGATACATATCTTCTGAGTTCATCCAGGCTAGTTATTCCTCAACGAATACGAAGTAAAAGGAAGAGGGCTGGTGGGTTCTACGCGTCTGGTCTCGACCTTTCCTTTCCGCAGTCCCTTGATAGAAGTGGGATAGAAGAACGGTCTGGTTGAGCAATTGAGAGCAAGGAACAATTAAATGGGTTACTAGCCCTATTACGATAGCTCTTTCCATTCCATTGGATTGGAAAGACGGACCAAATCCCTGACTCCAGAGCCATATTGTCTGGTTGATGTAGTTGCTGCTGTAACGATTTTAGGGCCTGCTATGCCTTACTGCTTCTTACATGTGTATGCATCAAGATCTCCGATCTTCTATCGCTTGGCCTTTTCTCCGATGAGAGATACAGGGGCTCATCTTTGAGGCATGAAACGCTCAGTAAGTTTCCGGTTCATCAATCGCACCATCTACTATTAAAGTGGTGAATAAGCTAACTACCTTGGACTCAGTTAATGGATGGTGTGTTTTTTTTTAACCAGTGCCAATGGTCGCTATCAGCTTCATGACTAACTCATCTTTCGCATGAAGGCGCACTGATCGATCCCCTCCCCATGGGGCACGAAAAGAAAACCCACAAAAATTGATTGCAGAGTGCTGTGCTCAGTTGGAATCTACTGAACGTCAAGCGTGGCACGGGCGGCACGAGCTCGGCAGCGAGAGCGAATCAGGAACACGTTTGCTCTTGGTGTGCGCATGCCCATACACCTCTCGTTCATTTCGCCCTCCTATTCTGCCAATGTCTAAAGGTATCAAATAACACCTATCGGGGATGCTCGCTAGAACGCAACTGAACGGTATACCCAAAATAATACAAAAAAAGCCCGGGTTAAACATTACAAGATGCGTATCTTCACACCGGGGCATGTCAACAAGTGCGAGAACAGAACAGCTTGGGGCTAATTGTATACAGGCTTGTTTGTGGACATGTGTACTAAGAGGCGCGCTCGTGGCGCGAGATCCTCGCGGTGGCACACAAAATGTCGAAGCAGAGCAAGGGAAGGTCTCGTAGACGACCAAGGAAACCAATCGGATGCTTCTTTGTACGGTCTGACAGTCCGGAGATTGCGGCCTGGCGCCACAACCTCCTTTCTTTTCGGCGGCAATGGAAGAAAGATTTGCTCTGTTGGGCTCCTGACAATGCATATACGAATCTTTTTTAGACTTTCACCATAAAATCTCCTCAAAGTGTTCCACGCGTCTATGGCCCCCTGATCCCTGGTCCCCGTATTAGCAGTTTGCTATTAGCAAGCGTCGATCCCACAGTAGGGGATTTACACGTACAATCTATATTGTGAGTAAATCGGTGCGCTATCCAAATCCTGGCTCCCATCAACAATCCAATTGATATATCTCATTTGACGGGGTTTGATTTTCGTCATACCTCTGTCCTAGTACACTACAGCCCCATGGTCCATGCCAGTGTGAAACTACTACACACGCGAGCAAAGGACGGCGTCGCTGACACTTGTTATTGTTGTTTACTTTATCACTCCGCCCATTCGCCATCTCTTTTCATCAATTATGTTTGGATGGTACCGGTATGCAAACGAGCATTATCGTATACAAAGAGCGCCTTCTCATAATTTATTATGCAGCAAGTCCCAGCGACTGCATTATTTCTTCACTAACCGAGTCATCCGAGCCCGTGCAACGCTTGCACTTGCATGTAAAGAGGTACTCAGTGCGCAGGTACTGTTGTCGCGTATCCCTCTTCCAGCGAGGGTCGCAATATGTGATCTGAAGCTGCTCATCCCGCTTGATGTCTCGGGCTAAGCGAACGCTCACGCCATAATTCGTTCCTGCTCCAGGATGATCAATGATCGCATTGGGTACACAGGCATGATTGAGCGAAGAGTGCAGGAGGTAGAGTCCTCCATCCTGGTTGTTGATATTGTATCGGCCGACGAATTTGAGATACGTCTCCATGGAGAAAAGGTCTTTCAGACTGTCAGGCAGGGGTTTTGTGAGAACAGAGGTGCCGTTTTTGCCAGTGATCTTGAGTGGGTACTGACAGCCTTTAATCAGAAATTCCAGGGCTTTCTCCCAAATCGCTCGCGATTGGTCGCCCATCATGTCCCATGAGGTCTCCTTCTTTTGCCGCTCCTCCTGACTGACGGTTGCAAAAGCGTCCAGGTGCTTCAGAACTGATGCTAGCTCCTCCGGTGAGGTCTCATTCGCGATCAGAATGCGTTCGTAGCAGCGAAGAGCGCCCATGCCGGCGTTCCAGTTTTCTTCCGCGCAGTAGGTTATGTAATCCTTCAATGCTGGGTTCAGTGGGCCGCACTCGAAGCGATGTGAGCTATCCCAAGCTGTCTGTCGACATGCTATTATAAACCAAGATGTTATTATGCGTTATAAGCGTTTCTGGTCCGTAATCAATGGATAGTTGTACATTACATGTACCTGAAAGCTGGAATTACCTTTTGTGCAGTACTTGATTTTGCCACAGCTTGGGCAGCCACAGATCAAGAGGTTTCCGTGCTTGATGGTACGAGCGCAGAGCCCACACGCCTCCCCTCGAACGACCATGTTGTATCTCTTCATGGGCGGGAAGTAAACGAAGGGGAATTCTGTAAAGATCACCTTGCCCTTGGGAAGATCCTGCGCTGCAAAAAGACCTTTGTAATGAGAGCGGTCGTAAAGCATTGAATGGTCAGTGCTTTTGATTTGATTTGTCCTGGTCAGAGTCTAGTTGAGATTGCCCCACAGCATAGGATTAATGTACCTTTGCCGATAACTTTATTAATCATCCTGGCCTTAACTTGGCCATTAGTCAGTGCGCTGACATCAACCTCCGTATCGATATGACTGACAGGGATCGAGGGGTCGAGCTCGCCTTCGCCCTCAGGTCGTGCCACAGCGATACCAGCCTCGCCCATCATTTTCTTGACACGCTTCTCGCTCACGAGCCAGGTGGGTTCTCTAGCCTGAATCTCGGCCAGGACCTTTTTGATGCCCAGACCGGGATCTTTCTCTTTAATGGAGGCGATAAGAGCGATCAAGGCAGGAGCCTCCGGTGTGATTGTCGCCATGGTTGCTGAGGGCTGTTGAATCCTGTGGAGAGTCAAGAGGTGCGATCCTTTGACTAGGGCATCGAACGGTTTCTTTTTTGGGAGGTTTGTTTACTACATTAGGTTTCGTGGCTTGAAACATCGCCTTTTTTTTTTTTTTTTTTTTTTTGTGGGCCATGGTCGACAAAGGCATCACACCTTCACACCGTCGCGCTCGAGCAATGAATTTTTACAAACAGGCGGCACAGATTCTGGACAGGCTGGGCAAGAAGGAGGGTTCCATCAAGGGCCTGACCCTGGGGAATGCAGAGGTGACAGACAAAAAGCGCATGTATGCACTTATCTGCGAAACATTAAAGCGTAGGACACTTGGACTGGAGTTTTTTCGATCGAGATATGCTGATTGCCATAATGAAGACATTTCTCTTGGATACAAACTCAATGGCTATATTATGGAATTATGGAATCTAGATAATACGACGCTATCATTAGTATTACAGGAGTCCAAGCTTTTGACACTGGAGAAGAAGTTGACCAGATCGCTAGCATTGCTTCTGTTACACGACCTATTATTCCAGAACCGGGGCATCCAGGCCTCAGACGCATGGCCCATGAAGCAGGCAGTGATGAAGCACAAGGCACGACTGAAAGCCGAGTTTGTGAAAGCGAAGATCAAAGTCGGAGCCAAGAAGGATGGTCTGATCGAAGGTGAAGAAGAAAGTAAGTATTAGGGAACGTGTTCCAAAGGCGGACCAAATGCGAATTAAGAAGTGACATGCTAACACTTTATGCTTGGATTCCCGTGTAGTTCTGATGCCTAGATATGTACGGGTTAATCTTTTGATGATGACACCTCAGCAGGTTATTGATGCCTTTATCGCCGACAACTGGGCATTCCTGCCGGCACCACCCTCACCATTCGCACCACCCCCACCCAACACCTTCCATCGCGACGAACACTTGGACTTTATGCTCGTGTTCCCGCCAAAGTCAGATCTCCACCTTCACCCACTCTATGTCTCTGGCGTCCTGATTCTACAGGATAAAGCGTCGTGTTTCCCAGCAGCAATTTTGTCACCGCCCAAGAACGCGTACGTGATCGATGGATGTGCTGCGCCCGGAAACAAAACTAGTCAATTGGCTATGGGAATGGGCAATGGTGGCAAGATTATTGCATGCGATCTGGATCTTCGGCGGCTCAATATCCTCAAGCGGTTAACCACGAAAGCAGGATGTACAAGTATGTGGCCTGCTTAATGGATACTATTGCTCGAAATATTATGGGAGAACGCCATGGCATAAATTTGGATATTAATGCATCAGAAATAATTGCTACCCATCGCGCTTTAGACATCACGGCTCTGAACACTTCGTTCTTAACATTAGACACCTCTACGGAGGATCATTCAAAAGTTACACATATTCTGCTGGACCCCTCGTGCTCTGGATCAGGAATCGTTAATCGCATGGATCACCTTGTAGACGCATATGCAGAAGAGCAGGAACAAGCAAGCATTCTCGAAAGTACTACGACCGGTGGTGCTGCTGAACGTGCCGTGGCCGAAGAGAAAAAGAAAGAACGTCTCAAATCGCTAGGAGAGTTCCAGATCGAGTGTGTGACCAAGGCAATGACGTTCCCGAATGTGCGGCGGATCAGTTACTCGACCTGCTCGATCTATGCGGAGGAGAACGAGCATGTTGTGACGACGTTACTGAGGAACCATTGGCCCCAGTGGAAACTGTCTCCGCGGTCTAAGGTCCTACCCACGTGGCATCGACGCGGATACCCAGCGGATGTCGGCGATATTCCAGGACTGGTTGAGACAGACGAAGATAGAGCTAAAGTGGCCGATTGTTTGGTTCGCGCCGTACCTGGAGGCCCGGATGGAGACTTGATGAACGGGTTCTTTGTGGCGTGCTTTGAACGCGTGAGCAAGAATGATAACCCAGGGCTCTCGCCAACGTGGAAAGGACCAAGCATCGGAGTCAAGAGGGCACATGACGATATAACATCTAATGGGGCAGCGGCAGCTACCGTCTCCACCGCATCAGCCAACAAAAAGAAGAAGAACAAGAAGAAAAAACAGAAGGCTAGTACGGCCGATGGTGGCGCAACAGAGACGGTGACAGATTCCAGCGCTGGTCCATCTGAAAAGAAGGCTATGGAGGACGAGGATGAAGCGTCCGATGGGGAGTAATTAAACATCCTTGCTGTAAAATGGTTTCAATTGCTTACCTTCCGCGCCCTCGTGCATTTGGATTATTAATGTAGGGTGGAGGCTGGTTGGCATTTCAACAGACCATGAACAGCACGAGCACCTCTTGATTTTATTAATAAGACACATAGTCGTCAATTCATCCCGAGTTCACTGCTGTTGGAAATTCCCATTTGTTGTCAGTTCGCAAGGAGAGAGTAACGAACCGCATCCACATTCGCATATGGTGGCGACTGTTCCTGAGACTTGCCAAAAAAAAAAAAAAAAAAAAAAAAAAGAGCTGCCGTTCTCCGTTCTGTAGCAAGGGGTTCTTTCTCGTCCTAAATTATTCGCCACAGGTGCGGACAAAACTCAAATGTCTGGCTTTTGACATGTTCGCTTGTAAACCCCAATCTCGCATGAAATCGAACACTTCATTCGGACGTAAATGCTCTCCTATCATGCTGCACTGACACAAATTGCTACTTTCCATCTGAATGCGCACGGACACAAACATGAAATAAGCACAGGATTAGCTTGCCCTGCTGCAGACCACCTCTCTCAGGGATTTTACGATTGTTTCGACAATGGACGTTCGGGTCCATCCAGAACATAAAGAATTATACTTTTAAAAGCATTTATGCTTGTCCTCCACATCTTATCAGAAGCTGGACTCCAGAAATGCGATATGCTAAAAAAGAGTAGACTATAATATTGCCAGAAATTATGGGAACCGGTACCGGCCATTTGATGAAGCCTTGGCCAGACAATTTTTTGAAAAGATCGACGCATGAGCCCCTGAATGCTTTCTTTGATTCCCTAATTTGGACGGTGCACACAGGGAGCTTATTGAAGGTTGGTCATTGTACTAGCCTTCTCAGAACTACGAGGACCATCAAGATCCTTTTCCGACCTAGGCACTCAGTGCCTCTTTCATTCATGCAAATCTACAAATCGACAAAGCCTGTGTCCGTCTGCAAGCGCTATATACTCATGTTACTATTAACGTCTAAGTTTGGTCTGGGTCCACCGCCTGAAGATTGCGCTGGTCTGGCATTTGCTCGACCTGTCCTTGGTTGATATGTGCAAATTGATTCCCTAATGCGAGTTCTGGTACAAGTGCTGGCTTGACGGTGGCATGCCAATCTATTTTAGAAGACACGATGCACGATTTCAGAGAGAGACACGGGGTTGTAACGAGGGGAAGGGTCTAACGAGGCGATGTTTGCGGTACGCGGGCCGCGCGTGTTGATGCTGAGAGAGGACCCTGGTGAAAGGATCTATCTATAGCATGCGAGAGTGAGACTATTCATGACATCCCATGTTTTTCTCGTTGGTAATGGTTGTCGTGGCGGTTGTCGTGACACATCCTGCTAGTTATCCAAAGAGAAAAAGGGAGGGATGGGAGGCATGGCCATGGCTGCAGGTCTTACATAGCCCTAGTTGTCCACCCAAGAAAAATAATCCGTCAAACAATTGGGCTGGGATTTGTGCGCATGTCCTTTGTGTATTCAGGTCTTGTCGCTGTCAAGAGAGAAGGCACCGGAAACAGCCCTTCTTTCTCTTTCGCAATGCTGATTCGAAACCGGGATTCATCTTTGCTCATTGACATTCTACATCTTGAACGTTCCTGTCCCCCTGGAACCTAACTTGCCTGTACTTTTGACCACAACTCTATATATTTAAGAAAGACAGCTCCGCTCGCAACCTTATTCACGCTCCTCCACTCCTCCGCGTAGACATATACTCTTCCCCACTCACGTACCATAACTCTTTTATTATGACTCTTTTGCATCACATGTATCCTTCATCGACGGCCGTTCTCTCTCATCCTCCGCCCGACAAGGCGTTTTACTCCATCGCACCGTCTTCGCTCGCAAAAAGTGCGCGCGTCCGCGCTTCAGGTACTAGAAATGAAACATACCCTATCATTTGCTTCCGCCAACGGCGCGTCTGCGGATTATTAGCACAGCACATCCCCCAGATAGATGCTTACCAGACATATCCTTCTCTTCCAGGTCTCTGCCGGAAACCACCCAAGAGGACAGCCGAGTTCCTGGACACTGAAGCAGGAGAGGTTATTGACAACTCCCATACACCCAAGAAGCACTCCCCTCCACCGTTCTGTCCACACCTGACACCACCCTCTTCTCAATCCCCAAAAAGCACCATCAGCGATGCATCCTCACCACTTTGCCCCCCAATCACACAACCCACCCTCGCCAACACTACACAGCATCACAACACAATTAAATCACTCTCAGATTTGAACAAAAAAAACAAGATTTCAGGGTCATCAATTGTTAAGACGACCACGCAGCGTTACACACAGACCTCTGCGACAACAGTCAGACGTTCGAGTTGCGCAGGAACAGAGCCAGGGTCATCTATTTCGACAGCAACAACCCCAAAACCGATTCAGTTCATCAATAATGTCGCGCCAGCTGCGCCACGTCCGAAACCGCCAGCAATGGGGACATATGTGCAGACACAATCGGCTATTCAGCAAAAGGCGAGGAAGCAGTCGCGGGAGGAAGGGAAGGTTAAGCGGGCGTCAAATTGTTTCATCAAGTACCGGACACATATACATCCGCTGATTGTGGCCTGGTATGGGAACCAGAATAACAAGGTCGTTTCGCAGCTCGCAGGGCAGCTCTGGAGGAACGAGTCGGAATCGGTGAAGAACTTTTATCGTCAGCAGGCAAATGAGGAGAAGTTGAGACATGAATCGCTGTACCCTACGTACAAATATTCGCCAGCGCGATCGGGTCAGTCCAAGAGGCGGAGTGGCACTGGTGTGGAGGCTCATACAAAAGATCAGGTGGACACGTCTTCGCGTGCGCCGTCTCCGTCTGTAGAGGTTCGGAAAATGGATGGGTCTGAGCCGGAGGGCAGCCAAAGAGCGATGAAGAGTGAGAGTAGGCTAGCGAAACCTGCACAGAAGAAAAGGTTTGTGGTAACAGAAACGGCGCTTCTCGACTTTTCGGGTGACTCAAAGCTGACATCGACCCAGAAACACAAGCACCGGTCTGGCGGTCGATCTCCATCTGCATCATCACCGGTATCGGGATCTACTAGCAAAAAATATGGCACAGCAGGCCAAGATTCCTTCCCGAAAGACTGCGCTATGATACATAGCATGGATCATCCGGGAGCGTTCGCGTTTGCGGTCCAAGGTTCTAGCCCGACGACCCCATCGCCATCCGCCGGTGACCTCGTTCCTGTCCATTCACAGCAAGACCATGCCCCGTCAACTCTAATGTCTATCTTAAACACTTTATCACCATTCGCAAGCAGTGGACTGCAGGATCCGTCCGCTGCATCCATCGTGCCGGACCACTTGCTGGAGTCCAGTGCGATGCTCGCGCCACAAATTTGGACTCACGCTGCTGGGCATTTTGATATATCCAGTACTTCGGTGACCGCGTTATCCGCGATACCGATCATCTCAGACGTCGCGACTATGTCTCTGACCTCAAGCCTACGTCAAACTATGTCTACCGCCATGGACTTCATAGTACCAGCGCGCAGAAGGAGTAGCATCGACATGACGTATATGGAGCTCGACCCTCCAATGCAAGACCACACTGCTACCCTGGCGATGCATCCCAGCCCGACACTTCACCTGCAGCATAACCAGGACACAAGCCCGCCTTTACCTGCGCTTCAGCAGCTCTTATACCAGCAGCAAGGACAGCCAACTCCCTTCCAAGTCCCTGAATCGTGTGCTTCCGATTTTAATCAAGGCTTTCCATGGCACCTTGGCATAATTACGACTCCAGGAGCGGCTGTCGATGTAGTCTTTGATGCTACGAATCCATACTACTCACCAGAAACAATGCCCGCCGAATATGGGTCATCACTCCTCACTGCAGCAAATGTGCTTTCTGTGTCTCCACAGCCGCTTACACCAGGGTCCAACCCTATGCTTTCATCAGCTGCGGTGGCATACCATTATGGATGGACGGACAAAAATCCGACAGACCTTTTACCTCGTGCAGCAAAGGAAGCCGGGGGTTTCCAGCTTCCGCTTCCGTCTACGTCGTCGGGGGTGCTCTCGGCACAGACTGAATTGAGCGTGCAGTATGCGTTGGGCGTTTATGAAAGCGGCAATGAGGTGGGGTATACGGACCTTGGAGCGGCAGATGTGATGGCGGCAGCGTGGACCTCAACCGGAGAGGATTATCCATCGGGGAACAGATTTTCGATGGATACGGCGACGAGCTTTGGGATGCAACAGCAGCAAGCGCCACGAAGGCTGTTTATGGAGGGAGGCGCACATGACTATAGCGACGAGGAGCTGAGTATAAGCATCGAGTATTATGAACGGGTGCTGGAGATGCAGAAGACAAGGCTGGCGCAGCAGAGACAGATGAAGCAGCAGCAGCAGCAGTAGCAGCGGCAGCGGTCGGTCGCGTCTTACTGATAATAATGATAATGAAAGGGGGGGGGGGGGGGTTAATATGCCCACATACAATCAAAACTTCAAATAAAACCCTACGCTTTTCCGAAAACGTTCTCGCCAAAGTATTAGCAAGATCGTAGTTGATAATTGAGCAAATCGGCCCTCATTCTATCCCCCGTAAACTTTCTCTCCCAGCCCTAAAATATTATGGTGATTAATATTGTTTGTGTGTGTGATAGCGCGCGTATGTTTGTCTAATCTATTGATCGTGAAAGAGTCTCGCAGAGAGCTGCCAGGCTTGCTTGGCTGCATTTATGCCCACAGAGCAGCGTAGGCGCCGCAGAGTCCGAGCTGGAGTGGTCCACCTGCTGCAAATAGCCTTGTGCCCGTCGAGTCGTATTCCAACGTATACACCGCATTCCGGATCGTGATGCCTGAGATCGACATCGCGTACGCAGTATCTCGATTCTGTCGTCAACAAAAAAAAAAAAAAAAAAAAAAAAGAAAGAAAGAAAGAAAAGGGACGCGTAGAAAAAGCCATAGTCAATATCGTTTTTTTGCTGAACCGACAACCTTCTCCTTCAAAAAGAAAGCTTAAGGATCACTTACGAGCCAGCCAGGTCCGATTTCCTGGAACCGTTTTGTACTCTCGCCGTTGTTGAACCCATCAAGGTACCGTTGTGCGCGAACATCATAGTAACCGATACGGCCAAATCCTCCGCCCGTGGTAATGATGTGGCTCTTAAAGTCGAGGGCGCGGACACCCCAGCCTTCATCACATGAATCTATGTCGTGGACGATGGATGTGCTGCGGGGATCGATGATCGAAATGTGGGATTGTGAACCGACGGCAAAGAGGTTTGCATCCGAGTTGGCGGTCAGGCACACGGTCTCAGTCGAATGGATCAGCTTCAACTTTGAGAGCTGTGGTTAGAGTAATGCAAAAAAAAAGAAAAAGAAAAGAATATAGATGTTAATGCGCAGGAAAACTCCCTCACAATGGTCGCATTGTTTGATTACATGGTAGAACGTGTATCGCCGAAGTGAAAGATGCACTTACTTGGACGTACGACTCGCGATCCCATAGCTTGACATACCCTTCAGTTGTCAATGTCATCAATTGCTAGTCATTTTCACCAAGGTATAGGTAAGAATAGCAATCAATTTGCAACGCTGATTCTCATAAAACGGTTTCAGCCCCAGCTACTTACTCCTGTTGTCTTGTTAAGCGCTAGATCGCGGACCTTAGTCCTTACCTCTGCACGCGTAATCACCGGAAGGTGGACCTTGACCTCGCGTGTGACTGAGTGCAAATTCGTCAGCACGGGCGACCCCATGGTCCAAACACGCATCGACCCGTCCCTCGCGCCCGTCACCAGAACCGTGTCTGAGATCCAGGTCAGTGAGAACACCAGGTCCGTGTGTCCGTACATCATCCCCACGGGCTCAAACTCTGGGATTGCGTAGATCGTCACCTGGAAAGGGTCTCCGGAGCCGATCGCGAGAAGCGTCCTGGATGGATTGATGGATAGTGATCGGATGCCTGTAGATGTGGACGCAGCTGCAATGCTGTTCAGCGTTCCTGGGCTCATATCCCCTGGTGAGTTCGTAGTAATGTTGGTGTTTGCGCCATTGATGGCATTTTCTGCCGCCTGCGTTACTACTGTTGATGCCGCAGCGGTAGCGATTGGACTCGTGGCTGAATTGGTAGCCGTTGGTGATGAAGAGTTGGGGCTGGCTGCGGTCGCCAATGAAGGGGTAGACGATCGACGACCGGGGTTGAAGAACCTGAGCCCTCTCTCCAAAGTGTGCGCCAATCCCAGGTCGTTGTTGTTGGTGCTACTGGCGATACTGCTGTCGTACATTCTCCCTAATCCTCCTCGCGGAAGGTACGTGTTTTGGAGACCAAAGGAGCTGCGAACATTTGGTGTCTTCATCTGGGTAAAACTGTCTTCCTTCGCAGCCAGGTCCCTGACATGCGCGAGAGCGCTCTCGGTGCTTTCCATAAGACACTCATCCAGGCGTCCTATGATCGTGCGCTTGTCCGTGCGGGTGTTTAACATGATGATCTATTTAGGAATACAGTGTTTTCAAGGAACTGTTGGTTAGTGGGCTGCCTCATAGATACTGGAGCATAACAACACGTAATTCAATGCTGTGTTCGTTATCCATATACCACTAGCTCTACCCTTTATTCTCTCCCAACGCCTTTTTTTTTTTTGTCTGATCCATGTTACCTTGTTACATTTGGTTCCCAAGAGCACCTCCTCGTGAGTGAACCACGTCGCCGCAAAGGCCTTGTCGTATCCTTCCATGCAGTAGTCGCGCTCATCGATAATAGCAGGGATCCCGGAACTGACCAGATCGGAAGTCGCATCCAACTTATTGCTGTAGCTGTATCCAGTCATTGATAAAGCTGAAGGCGCTCGCTGACAAGTCTCAGTGTTGTAATACCCATTCGATTCGTCCGCCACACAAAGAGAAGGCAATTCTGTTGAGGAGGCGATCCAGGTACGAGGGGCGGAGAGTGCTGAGTTGAGACGCGGCGCTACAGTTGTACTATGGCAAGGGGACGATGACGACGACGCTGCAGACTCTGTCCTGACCGAGTGATAGGGCATCTGCTGGGAAGTTGTCGACATGGATGGCGTAGACATACGCCTACTGCCGGCGCCCAACTGGACTACGGAAAGATGTGGACTCCTCAACGACGCTGAGCTTGATGACTCCGCAACAGAATTGGAGGAAGTACCGCCGCCGAACTCCGTTACTTGACCCATCCTCGTAATGCTTTTACCATGCGACCCCAGCGATGGTGATAACGAGGGTGAAGGTGAGCTTGAAAGTGATGAAAGTGGGTGAACTACTGGTAATTTGGGGGAACTGGACGTGGATCGTAGTGCTGGTTCCTGTGCTTTTGCTGGCGATCCGGGTGCAATACCTGCCTTAGTACTGCTAGGAGCATCTGGGCTGCTGGAGGGCGTGAGGATGTTCTGTTCAGAGACATGGTACACGTCCTGTAGCTGAGGTTGGCAGCCGATCCTGCGTGGGGTTCCTTGTCTGATCTGCTGCTGCCGTGTCTGGTACTCGCGCTTCCTCAGTGGCCCCAGCACAGAGGCCGAGGGCATCGACGGGGCTGATGTGTTGTAGCTATTGACGCATTGGAAAGTAAGGCGGTGATGAGATGGGGTGTTACGAGGTGGGGGCGAAGGTGTCCCTTGCGGGAAGGGAGCGGAGACGAGGACGTGGATTCGGAACACGACTAATGGCGACGTGATCTGAGCCTAAGGACTCATCCACATTGACCACAAAAAGGGGGGAGGAGGCTTCTTTGTGCAACCGGGAGAGAAGCCGTTGAATCATCATGAAGCACCACATGTACCACTATCTGAAGAAAAGGGGAGTGTATACCACACTTTCTCCCCCTTTCTGCGTGTGTGTCTTTGCTGGAAAGCTGCTGTCCATTTGAAATAGGACCAACAGTTCAAAGTTCAGAGTAGATCGGCAGGATGACAGCATGATGCTCTGGCATTTTGAAGGGTCAATAGGGGAAGGGGATGCAGATATGATACACCGTAATCAAGGAAGCACAGACATTTGTGTAGCACAGAATGTGTTTACCTCCATGGCTGCTTTTGATCCTTTGGACCCAGGAAGAACGACAGCTTGAGGATAGGCATTCAACGGCAGCGAAGAGTGTGGAGGAGTGGAAGTGGCCGACGAAAGGGAGAGAATGCAAGTGTGAAATGTGAAACGTGGAGTGTGAAGCGTGGAGTGTGAATGAGGAGGATCGTAGGACGGATAGGAACGAAGAACGAAAGCAAGAAACAAAAAAGAGAGACAAATGAATATATAGATGAGAAGCAGGACAGTAGTGGTATCACGGGCGCAGCGCGGTGGGATTTTTGAGTGGGAGCAAGAGCTTTTGAGTAAGGAGTAGGGCTTGATCGAATGGTTAACTAGATAGATTGCTTTTTGACGGACTGAGGCTCCGAAAAGGGAGAAGAAATATGGTGAGACGCTCGTCGAGGAGACGTAAAAAACGTGCGCTGAGAGGATACAACGAAGAATAAACAACGCGCGGCTGATGTGAGGATCGGTATGTGCTTTCTAGGACAAAGAAATCTGTATAGCAGATATAGCGCAGAGCGAAGGAGAGCAGTAGCAGAAGGGGATAAAGAGCGGCGTAGGAGATGGACAGCCGAGTCGAGGTCAGACGAAAGAGATGGAGAAGGAAGGAGGGTAGGGATGATTTTAGAAAGTATAGTATCGGTGGCCTATGATAACTTGTTTCATTCTTCATGTGTGGAATGGGGGAAAGTAGAAACAAAACGCGCAAAAGGACGGGGGCTAAAATGACTATGATAATGATGATGATGATGATGATGATGACGGCAGTGCGTATGATGCCACGGATCCATGTGGCCTTGTCCGTTCATCTCCTTATGCCCCTCCTCTATTTGTGAACCTCCAGCGTTTATGTCCTGCCGCCATTTGACAAGCTGATACGAACCATCAGGTCTCGTCTTATGCACTTCAATTAAAGCTCTCAATCCACATCTATCTGTGCCTTCACATTGCTTTCCCCCGACTTCCAGGATGTGCCTAAAATAAGGATATCGAGTGGATATTATATCATGACTGCAAAAGACAGAAATTAGCGGTATAAAGAAGGGACAAAAGGAGCGACTTCCCTTCGAACACCGCTTGTAGTCTGCAGATCACTAGGCGGCCCCTCCACCCCCTCGCTGTCCAAGTCGTCCATGGGCTGCGCCAAAAAGACGCATTTGGCTTGCTGTGCTGATAGAGGGAGATTTCAGGGATAACCGCGGCCGAAACGATAGAGTCCGAAGCCTGGTTATCAACAATGCTGTCAAGACAAGTACGCGCGTATGAATCTCTCTCGCTCTCTGTCTCCTTCTCCTTACCCCTTTGAAGCATTTCCTTACTGTCCTGTACCGTAGTGGTGGGTCGCAGTAAAGGAGATCTACTTCGCGTGTGCGTAATCGGACTTCGGGACATGTCCGTGCATCAGTGTAACCCACCCCTATTTCATCAATGTTCGATACTAATAAACTTTGTCAGATAAAGCGCATCATGCTTGGGCTTGCCTGCCCACATTCCTTTGCTAACCAATTCAATGCGCTGCCATACACCATGTCCGTCTTCTAGTGTAAAATAGTGTGTAAATTAAAAACTGTATATGTTTATATTTATTTGAATAGTTTTTGTATATGTAATGCAAGCGTTTGTTCAGATGGTCAATGGCGACCTTCGTTTGCGCGGGCATGGTTGTTTCAGTAGCTTAGCCCAACAATTGACCAGCTCGTCCATATCTCCTGTCTATATGAATTATGGAGACTCATTGCACTTCATGAATCCAGCAATAGCCATCTCCTTGTCCTTGGTCGTGTCGCTGAAAAAATAATGAGTATCGCCATTCTTCAGGTCAACGCGGAAGCTGTTGGGGATCAAGACCTCGAGCGAGGCATCCTCAACATGTACGACCTGACCAGCGAGGTTCACTTGCGAGACAGGCGCGCGGTCGTTCTCGTCCCTGAAGAAAGCCAGAACCTGTCCACGCATCGCATAGAAGCGGCGCTTCCAGAAAGGCGAACCAGCGCTTTGAATGGTAATGTATCCAGAAAGCCCCAATCCTCGGAGTCTCTCCATCTCGATCAATTGCCTCTTCATCGCCTCACGTGCAACTCTGTCGGTCTCTTCCTTGCGCTTGCGCTCCAGTTCAAGGGCCTGCTTCTGAGCAAAGAGTTCCTGCTCACGTGCCTCACGCTCTTCAGTCTCTCTTTGACGCTTAGCAGCCTCGGCGCGCCTCTGACGCTCCATCTCCTCGCGGACCTTGCGCTCTGCAGCCTCAATTTCCAGCTGACGCTCAGTTCTGGGAGTCGAGAGTCCTGAACGAGGGGAAGCAGTCCTGGCAGTGGGGCTAGGAGTTGCGACCTCGGGCTGCTGCTGCTGTTGAATAACGGTGTCGATAGCGATGGGCTCTGCAACTGGTAGAGGCGACACGGGGGTCACAGGGCGGGGTGCTGGGACTGGGGATCCGACGGGCACAGGTGTCGAGGACATGACGGGCGAAGAAGCCTCTGGAGTTGGTGGTCCCTCAGTCAATCCGAGACGAGCGCGCACTCTCTCTTCGGTCAACTCTGCAAGGCTCGAGGTGTTGATCTGGGCATTGCTGGCCTTGAAGAGGGCGCCAACAGCCTTACCATGCACCAACGCACGCGCTATTATGCGACAAATCAAGTTCATGTAAGCAACTAGAAGCGGACTCAACCCAACTGCAACGACGTGCCATACTTGTGGTGTATCATTCATAAAACCCCACGAACTCCTTACCACGACGAAGACCACTGATGCGATGAATAGGTGGCGAGCATAGTAGAGATGCGGTGCAGGATAAAAAGGAAGATGAAAATAAGAGAGCCATCGTTAGAGCTTCTGCCTAGCTTCATATTGTAGCAGTGGCCTAGATTATTGATAACAAGTGCAGGGGGCCGAGCAGACAGAGACGCATGATACCAGCTGCATGAATGGTTGCGGCTGTAGGGTTGCATGTCTTTTACCTGACTTGTTCGGAGACATAGGCGAGGAGAGCAAAGCGATCCTCAATCCTGACGAATCCATAAAGCACCTCCTCCTTGAGATTAGCGGTCAATTCCTCGAGTCCACCGGTCCCCTTAGAGTAGAGCGAGATCTTGTCCCTTGTGTCATGGTAACCGAGGATAAGCCTAGCATAAAAGGAGGTGTGAGGCGCATTAGATGCATGATTAATGGCATATTTCGTTTCCTAATTGCACGTTATATCGATTCAAGGGCACAGTGCTCGGCTGGCCATACCAGTTAGTGGGTGCGCCTGAGATGATTTCCTGGTAGGCCTCGAGGATGGCGGGATCGGTCAGGTCGCAAGACATTATGTGGAATTAGAGATGGGAGAAGGAGGTCAGGAAGTGGTATATGTGGGTGAGCAGCAGCAATGAAGCGAAGGGAAGGAAGATGATGGTGCCTGAAAAGAGAGGCGGGGGAGAAGGATTCTGAAGTCGATAAAAAAAACGGTCAGAGGGGGAATGGGTAGCAAAGTAGGTTTGAATGAAGCAAGGGGCGGGGGGAGGTGTTGTTGTTTTGGTTGATGAGAATGAGCGGAGGGAAAGAAGGAAGGAAGGAGGGGGATGGGGATGAGGCTGAGGAGGGTGGAGCAGAAGATGAGGAAGCACAACAAGGAGGAGTTGAAAGCCGAGTCAAGACAAAGTGAGCGGGAGAGCGAATCTCTTCAGTCTTCAATTCATTCAACTGGGCGCAAAAATATCACACAACTATACTATACCATGCTCCTTGCTTGCTTCTCGTGTACCCTCCTTCACGTCCATCCCCATCCCCCGCCCTTACTTTTCCTCCCATCTTCTTAGACCATCCTCCCATCTGACCTTCCCGCAGATGCCATCAGTCCTGAACCAGGCACTTGCTACACCATCTTCAATTGCGCGCGTACAGTTCCCTGCTCGCAGCTCGTTCTAAATTTGGGTTTGAAAAGTGCCGGCTCTCAATTACTCCATGTATATAGCCATGTTCCAGGCTATAGCAAATTGCACATTGAGGTATATGCTACTGCTGCGAGTCTCCAGGTTCAGAAGATACAACTGAAGGGACGGGGAACGTATCCAGGTCTATTGTATAGCCCGACTGCGACAGCTTCAATGGGGGTTCCTTGTCCCTTGCAGAGCAATCGAGCACATCGTGCACTCCCTTAACCAGGCTGACGGCGCCAGGGGATGACTTTTCGAGCGACCATTGAAACAAGCAACCGGCGATTGCTTGGACAGAGGAAAAAAAAGCGTCCATTGGCATAGATGGTGTTCTAGGGGACCCCGGTACGAAGCGGTTATACAAAAAACGCGCCTAATGCCATGTGGAGGAGGGGGGGGGAAAGCAGCAAGTGACTGTTGCAATTGAAAGTGAGCTTTCCAGGGGGATGACAGGTTTCAACTTGCACGTTCGCATCATCATTCGTCCTTCGAGTTCCTCATACCACATCTCATCACTCATCTACCGTTCGTTATCGCGCCAGCATCACCTCTTCTCTTGCAGGATACATATTTGCAGCGAAAACCCCTTTATTTCGACTTAGCAGAAGGGCCAGAATACCAATTAGATCTCCTAACGACGCGCGATGGTACTGATGATGCTGCAGCAACCACAGGAGCCATGCTCTACCCTGAATCTGGCCTTTTCTCGAACCACAGGGGGTGGCACACCGCTACAATGGTTTCCGTCTCGTATAATACGCAGTTCAGCTGTCCCTGCCTAACCGGGCCTCCTTCCTACTCCTCCTGCTTTCTTTTGGCGTGTCCGACTTTAGATCAACTTCATTCTCATCTTCAACAGACAGGGCAAGATCCGCCTTACGCGGTGGTACCAATACATGACGGATAAACAAAAGGCGTCGCTCAGTCAGGATGTCGTGACACAGATCCTGGCAAGAAAACGAGGCATGTGCAACATTCTGGAGCTCGAGGGAAGGCGCGAGGCACGAGGAAAGGCCATTTACAAGAGGTGAGGATGCCTTTATGGAAACGACTTGGGATGTGTTTTGGTTTAGTTGACTCTTGGGTTGAAACGGGTATTGGATTGATACGTATGCCCTGAATTTCTCACGCTAATCGTTTTATTTTCTTTTTATTGTCGATATAGATACGCTTCGCTGTTCTTTTGCTTTGGAATCGACTGGAACGACAATGAGCTGTCAGGACTGGAAGTGCTTCACAAATATGTCGAATGCCTGGATCAGTACTTTGGAAACGTGTGCGAACTCGACATCATCTACAATTACTCCGCGGTAAGCAAAGGAAGAAGCATGAACCATGCTACTTGTGGTGACACCCCAAAGGGAGCTATATGGAGCGGCCCCGTGGTACAAAGATCAAGTTTCTGATCATTTTTTTTTTTTTTTTTTTTTTTTTTCATATGAATATCAAATCCTTTCTCACTAGGCATATCAAGTCATGGATGAGATGTTGCTAGGTGGACATGCACAGGAGACCAACAAAAAGATCGTCGTCAAACACTGTAAAGGGTTTGACAAGCTGGAAGAATCAGACAGCATTGTCCACAACCTTCGCGCATCCAACATTGCTTGATCCAGTGCTTATTCACATCCCTACTATTACCATCATCTTCACGCAGACAATTGTTTAAAAGAAAATAAAGAGCGGCATTATCGTGTTAACGTCGAATTAATGAGCGGAGGAAATTAATTGTGGCAGCTTTTAACCGTCGTACCACGGCAGAGGACGAATTTGGAATCATGGCGTTATCAAGTGTTCATGCTATCGTGGAGAAAGAAGCATCGTGGCTCGTGCAAGTTCATATCAAGGTTTAACACTATTTACTGTAATCCTTCGCCTTCTGCTTCTTCAGTGCCTGTTCGCGCTCGACCAGCATGGTATAAAAGGTCTTCTTCTTGGGCTCGCGCTGCAGCGTAGATGATATATCGGCCCCATTCAGCCCTGGAGGTCGACATCCCACATCCACACCCTCGCCTTCGTCCCACTCGTCAATTTCCCGTCCATCAAATGCTGTGCCAGAATTATCGAGGTGATCAAAGAAGCGCCCGATCTTGTGTCGATCCTGGCCCTGGAGAGTTACCTCATCATCGTCCACATCGCCTTCCTGCTCATCCCCTTCTTCTTCGTCCTCGTCATAGGCGAGATAAGGATTCTGCTCGTCAAAATCTTCGTCTTCATACTCATCATTGTCACCGTATCCATCATCATCGTACTCATCGCTGGCAACATCGTAGGGGATATCATTGTCTTCCTCTGAACTCTCCTGCGCCTCATCCCCATCGCGCTGAGCACCATCGTCGTTGTAATCCTCGGACTCCTGATAATGACGGCTGCCCTGCATCCCACCAGGAAGTCCCCCATAGACGCCGTCTTCAATGTCTGACAAACCCTCCAGGTAGTCCTCATCTTCTCCATCCTCTTGATCATGGTGCCTTTCATTCTCACGCTGATACTGCATCTGCTTGTCATATAATTCTGCACGCTGCTGAACCGTCAAATCCTGAACAATCCAGCCCTCGCTACCGCGACGAACATGGGTAGGGAAATGAGACGGCGGCCTTGCCGATGCACGATCGTCTCTGCCGCTCCTGCTCCTTCTATTGCTGGCGTTACCATCTGGACTGACAGGTGTTTCCATTGAGCTCAGATCCCTATTGCGACGGTGACGAATCGAAGAAGATGCGTATTCTGAAACGAACGTCCTGTCCTGCTTCTTAGATGTCTGGTACTCGCGCGGTGGCCAAATCAGTGCCGCATCCTTGTCTTGGATGACATCAAACTCTGTGCCTGAGCCGACCATGGATTGTGGCCACAACCAAAACCAAGTGCTCTCCCCCAGGACCTGACGATAATTGCGGAGACAACCAACATCGTAGGGATATTTGACCTATGATTTGTACAGGACAGCATCAGCGACTGGTTCGATTACCTGTACTTATTTTGAAGATAATGGCGATGGAAAGAAAACCGATAGAGAGGAAAATAATGCCCGGTACCTTTCTGATTTTTCCTTTTTTGATCATGGCGTCAACTTTTTCCTGTTCCCAGACCTCGATCGTCGAAGTATTGCTGATCATGCTCCAGAGGTGGTATATTGTCAAAAACCCGACCGCCAAAAGCACGCCTCCGTCTACGACGATGTTCACGGCCATGAAAACGATCTGTGTCTTTGTTGGACCATCGCCAGTGTACTATAGGACCGTGGAATATAAAGTTAAAGCCATATCAAAATAACTAGCGGAGTAAATAAAAGGGGCCCTGGAGCATCGTCATTTTGAAATAGATTACATGAGCATTGCACCTTACCATGTAGTAGGTCTCGTTCTGGACTGCGTCCACCAACCTCCAGAGCAGTAGGACCATACAAGAACCCGTCGTGATCGAAACCCAGGTGATGAAGCGGATGAAATGCCCGTAATTGTAATGTCCCACACAGTTGTTGATCCATGGACAATGGTGATCCATTTTTAGGACACATTTCTTGCAAACCCTGCAATGATGCGACCGAGGCGGCTTAAAGGCCTCGCATGTCCTGCAGTACCGTGGTAGAGGCGTCTTCTTTTTGATTAGATTGGTCGAGGTTGTCTTGAAGCCCTTTGGGTCAGGATGGTTCTTTTGTCTATGGTTCAAGCGGTGCGGTTCCTTGTGGTTGATGGAGGTCGAGTGGCCATGCTCAATGTTGTCTGTTTTTGCTCCTATTGCATCAGCCGCTGTTGATGTTTCTGCTTTAAGTCTGTCCTCCTGATCCCTGCCCTCAGATTCTTCACACACTTCCACTACCTCAGGGGCCTACCCTCCAGTAATTTCGACAAAGAAGACAGCTGTCAATACTCCATTCCAATGCATGGCTTCAGACCTGTGGTCAGACAAGTGATAACAAGGGAGAAATTTACATACCCCCCAACCAGGCGGCGGTGAGCCAGGTTCAGTTGTGCAAGCAAGGTAATAGTTCCAGTAGATAAACGCCACGCCAATGTTGAAAGGCACCAGGACCTGAAGGGTTCTTGTGAGGGAGATAGTCCGGAACCATGGAATGAAGACAAAGATCTGGCTTGTGAGGGCGATGTATGCGATCAGGAGGGTGACGCCGGCGACGATGTAGCGGCTCCCTGTGAATTGCATTGCGATGTGTCCTGTGAATGAGCTCGTTTCTCTGCTGCTGTACTGTCTGCGTGCAGTACGAGCTGGTGTGATGCTGATGCTGTTGTTGAGGTGGAATGGAGAAAGAATATGTTTGTGCCTGAACTAGAGCGAATAAGGGACCAGTAAATTTCAAGGGGCGTTTGAGTGTGGAGAAGGGCAAGGCCGCTCTATTGAATTCCACCCACCTCATTATGCGATCATCCTATCATACACGCTCTGGCGGTCGGGCCAGTTGCTACTGCCAGATCTGTTCCTCAGACCTGCATGTCCAGAGCCAACGTGAAGCCTTTTCTGGTGGATGTGTCCAAGCTTGGTGCTCCCAATAAGCATAGCACTGAAATCTTTTCTTTAGCAGATCTGAATGCACTTCTCCGAGCTGACTGAAGCCGCTGCGAAAGCGATGTCACCAAGGCTTTGAGACGCCCACTTGCAGGATATTCAGGACCTAACATTCGAGTTTTTTGTGGCTGCATTACCAGCCCCCCAACCGGCATATTGCTATTAGGAGCGGAACCCATATCCTCTTGAGCAACAACCACAACATCATCGCACTCAGCCTTCTAACATCCATACTAACATCAAGCAAGGCATGCGAACGACTCTTGGGGTCCCTTCAAACGTAAATACCCCGATCCAGGTGCCTGTCACCGATTGGTGTTTTCGAGAAGGATGTCCTGTTAGAGTCAACGATTGACCTTTGTTTGGACATGCCCGTCATTGGAGTCGCTACAGGAGCTCTACTGTGATTTCGATGAGAACCTCGAGTTCAGCAAATACCGATATTTTAGATTGGAAGAACATTGCGTTTCAGTCGATGGTTTCATCGTTGTTGCTTCTATCAACACGCTGATTCTGACTAAAATCAAGATCCTCTGGATTAAAGTCGGGAACGCCCTGGAACCTGAGATCTTATTTAAGACTGTTCCCTTAACTCGCAACATCTGGTCGGAAGCAATGTGGACTAGAAGCATGGATGGGGATGGTGGGTGATGACTGTAGACTTCTTACATGCCCGTCATGTTGGAAAACTTCAAGGGTAGCTTATCTCAGGTAAAGAGACATCCAAGAGAAGCCCTGGGATTTCCATGGCTTCTGAGGTATCTTGATCGAAACTCTCCGATATTATCAACTGAGCTGACAATCACATACCCCAGAAGGACAGGGAACTACATGTGTAGAAGTCTCCAGTGTTGATATGTTATCAGATAGGGACGCCTGGGTATCTAAAAGATCTGGGCCTTGACTTTTTTTTTCGATCATCATAGTTAACCATGGTTCTGTTTACAAGTCTTAAGGTCGACTCGGCACTATGACATCTGCCATGGCTGAAGATGCCGCAGTAGTTGGTATTTACAGAGGAGCGTACAGGCTCGAGCTCGAGGTTTCTAAATAGAAAGACCCACTTCGCCGACATGTGAGCGGGATCATTGGAAGTAGTTGCAACAGCAGGGGCCATGGCTGCGGTTCCTGAGCAAACGCTTCATATACTCTCTTAATTAGAGTACCTGCACACTTAGCCTTTTATTAGAAACTCAAAAGTGAACTCTATCATTCATCAAAAAATGGTTTCGCAAACTGGCTAATGATTGAGAACAAGGTTGTTGCCCATCGAGAGGGGAATGGCATTCGGATAGCGCGCCGTTTCCACCAAATGTGAAGAGATGGCGACTGCGGCTATTCAGAGCAATCATACCTCCGCTTGTCCTTTAAAAGGGATGCGACTTTCATTTTCCATTCTCCTCCCTCATAAACAGCAATGCCACCACCAAAATCCATCTTCGAAGTTCCTAAGCTGACTGAAGCGGTCGCGGAATACCTGACACCATACTCGATAGCCCAATGCGTCCGTGTCAGTAGGAACTTGCGCCTTCGTTTCGCCCCGCTGCTGTATCAAAGACTTGCGATTCAAGAACCCATGGAATACAGCACAGACAAAGAGTACGACGTTGCCGTCCGCCGCATCGAATCACTCGCTTATATCGACTCCGACTTCGCCAAGGCTCTGAGGCGACACTTGCAGGATATTCAGGACCTCACGGTAACTGTATTTGCGGAGGAGATCCTGAACACCGTCCTTGCTGAAACGGAACCAAGTGCGGCCGACAATGACTCGACTACGACATCTACAGAGGCGGCAACAACGACGGAGCCGACCACTTCAACGACAACAGACGCGACGCCGAGCGTCGCAATATCATGCAAGAACCTGAGGCGGCTCGAAATATATGTGGGCCCCGAAGATGGAGGGAGCCGTTCTTGGATCACCGGTTCTTCCTCTCCCAACCTCCAAATCCTGACACTCTTGGACATGAACCCTAATCTTTCTGTGCTTAGTCTTCCTGCGGCTATCCTCAAATCGTCGACAGCGTGCGAGAGGCTATTTAAATCTCTTCAGACATGTTTACCTCGACTCGAGAAGTTGACGCTCGTGGGCGATGACGAGGATCCGATGCCACGGATGCCGGCAATGGAACTGATCTGGAGGTGCCTGTGTTCGCGATCGCTTCAGGAATTGGAGTGCTATTTCGAGATGAGCACTGCTGATCATCTGGGCGAGAGCTCCGCACTGAGCAAGATGATAGTGAGGATCCGACAGGACGGGCAATTGATCTCAGCCGAGTCTCGCCTAAGGACATTGGTCGTGCCGCAGCACCTGCCTCTCAATCACTACACCCGAATCATACTGAGCTCACCCCGCACATTGACCAAACTAAGAATCCCCTGGGTTTCACACGAAACCGCGACAAAGTTCGTGGACATCATTCACACCCGGAGCCTCAATATTCGACATATATTTGGAGGCAATACAGGGAATCATCTTTCATGGCCGATGTCGAATACAGTCGCTGCCTTCTTGCGGGCCTGTAAGGGACCCAGCGTCGGAAGCGGTCTCAGGGTGTATCATGCTTCATACCTCCTTTGCCATACACCGATTGTGGACGCGCTTTTAGAACACCACGGGACCCTGGAGGAGATCGTGATTCCATTGACGGGCTATATTAGCAGCAACAGCATCCAGAGACTGCTGAGTGCCTGTGGGCAGCTGACGAAGTTTGGTCTGCAGATCGGCGGGAAGAATGTATGTGAAACGAGGCTGTCGTACGCAGACATGTTGCAAACGTCCTGGGTATGCACGAATCTTCGAGTCCTCCGCCTAACGCTCTCCAGTAACGTTGACCGGGCATGCCGTGATGAGGACGACGAGTCGCTGATGCGGGAGTGCCTGGACGGGATGTACTCACGGATTGGGGCGATGAGAAACCTTGTAGAGTTGGGACTTGATATCGATCCGAAATTCCGACGGCACGACGGAGAGGGGAGCGTTAATTTATTCTCGACGAGTATGACGATCGATCTGGCGCTAAGGCACCTTCAAGGACTGAAGAAACTGCGGCGACTGGCGATTACAAAGCGGCTCTGGGCAGGAATGGGACGCGAGGAGTGCGAGTTTATGAAACGAGAGTGGCCAAAGTTGCAGGAGATCGAGTTTATCGTTTCTGAACCGCAGGACTACTACCGCGAGTGCAAGCAGGATCATTGGAGGTGGTTGCAACAGCAGCGACCAGGGCTGCAGCTCATAAGCGAGAATATAAACCATCCCAGCTGAGATGGACTTCAACAGCCATTTTTGCACATCCTCGTCAAAATGAATGGCATCATAAGTGAAATATACTTTCATGTGACACTGAGCTTGTGGATGTTTTGCAAAATGGGTCAGTGCGGAAAGCGAGCATTACGGACTATCCTTGAACAACAGCAACTAAAAAAAAAAAAGTCAACGCCCGCAATGGTTGGATGGTGCCCACTACTATCTTGAGAAAGATACATGTCCTGTAGAAGGAGCTGTGTTTTGCGTACTCCCTAAATTTGACTCGCATACCTGGAGAAATCGAGTGCGATGTGGGGGCATGAAAATAGTCTACCAGGGTCGTCCTAAACGGTCGAGCACACACTCCCGATTACAAGCCAAAGGATCTGACATTCCGCGTTTTTAGGACTCACTTTATTTTTGCCAATGCCGCTTTAGCTGAGTACGGATGGTGTTGAGGAGGTTGACGATGCATACGAAGATGTCTTATAGCTTGGTGGACCAACACTAGTGCCGCCTGCATAATAGTGCGGCAAGTCCTCGCTTTGTCTGTCTGCCGATTCTTTTACATCCGTATTGTCGCTCGAGATTTCCTGTCTGCCAATCGTGGAGCTGTCTTTCTCATTGCTTGGTCCCTGGCTTACCCCTTTCGCCTTGCGCGCTGCCATACGCCGCGGACTGACCAAAATCAAAATCGAGAGGCACAACAAGTTGATTAGGCACTCTGCAATGATAACCGATAGATCAAATATCCCTAACCCGATAGTTGTTCGATGTAGCGTGCATCCGTTCTCGGCCTTATTCCATAATGTCACGTTCGTCAACACATCCTGGATCTCCATCGGCAGCGATTGAACTTGAACACAACTCCAGATGCTGGATACGGTCTGTGCGGGCACGTTTGAGTATAGCGATGTGTTGTTCGCCACTATCTGGTTGGTCATACTCGCGGCCTGGCGGATAGCTCTGAAGTTGACTATGGTCCATCTTGCGAATAAAGTCAGTGTCGCCAAATGTACAATAACAGCAAGAACCACCTCAAACACCACAAAGCGATAGTCGAACTGCAGAGTCGGCGATAACTCCACATCCGTGGTCATTGCGATCGCTGCTGCCTTTCCGTCTTCAAGGGCCGCCGCATTTCCGAACGATTTCATGGCGCGTGAGAGATTATCCGGCTCCAGTTGGTTGTCGCCGCATTCCTGGTGCCGCTGCGATCTGTGTCCGTCGAAAAAGCTCTCCTCGCGACCTTGATCTGTTACCAAATTCGTTATGGTATCCGGGGTCCGAGCCGTACTTCTTCTCGCCTGCTGCAGATATTGATAGGTGAGATATGGAGTTCTGAAAGGTGAACAAAGGTTCTTCGTGTTCCCTAGTAGAAAATAACATGGACCCCATACAAGGTAGACTACTAGAATCCAGCCTTCGACAGAAAGCATTTGAACCATAGCATCCGATAGTGGGTTGTTGTTCGGTACGTTCTTGGGGAGCACGGACATCAGCCGCAAGAGGAGAGAAAACATGGCGATGGAGAAGCAAAACTGAAAGGTGTTGTATCCGAAGATAAGGAGGTGGCGACATCTGGTAGATGTGAGGGGTGGGCTGGTTGCTGGCGAGGAAGTGGATGGGCGGACTGCATTATCGACAATGCTGACCGTAGTGTCAAGAGGTAGGGATAACTTGGCCGTAGACATGGCTTTACTGCTGAGTTGCGAACGCAGGATAAAGAGCAAAGGGAGGGCTGGCAGGAGAAGAGCGAGGCGATGGTCGAAGAGAGTCGAAGTGAAAAGTGAGCGTCAACCTATGGGTATCCCGGAGCACGCCTAAAAGGCATGTGGACAAATCCGACCATCTTGTGTAACCATACCACGCCCAAGATACCTTTTCTGATCAGACACAACGTTGACGCGATCCTTGCAGCATCTTGTATTTGTCATAGCATATGTGGATCGCTCATTGCTAGTTTATCAGACAGCGTTCCATGTTTGGCCAAAGGCATCGGCCATGGTCTGAGGGAGAGCACTTTTCCCAAATCCGCCAGATTCTCCTCTAAATGCCTCAGGTTTAATGCTCCAATCACAGCCCCCCATCCTTGGCCTCAAGTCCCGAGCAAAGCCTCGCCTATCGCAAGGTCGCCTTAGTAAACGCCAATTGGTCGGTCTGCAGAGCTTTTCCCAGAATCCGAACGTCCTCCATGTTCAGCTTGCTCCAGTGCCGTTCACGGAAGCTACTTCAGCAAGGAGGGAGATAGGAGAGAAAGATAATGAGCAGCGTCAGCCAAGCGAGTGGTATCTTCAACTTTTGTGTTAGAATCCGTAAGCGGTCTATTTACGCGTTATCAAAGTAGTAATGGCTGGGAAGCCGTAAGCAGCGCACATATTCACAGCTTACCTTGGGGCCATAGTGGCCACACCTCAATGACCTCCCCCTCGAGCTTATATTTGTGCGAGAGCAATCCACCCCTCAATGGGATGGAAGGCCTAAATCTAAATTCCGAGCTGTATCAAGCGTGGGAGGAGCTCCAGAATTACCGAACGAGCAACTAGATTGTCCTAATAACGGCATGTCAATACATTAAAACGAGTTTCAAAGGCCGTGCCTGTTCGCATATCCCGTAGGTCTGGGTGGCTTCTTAAGAAGTATAGTTAGACAATCCTAACTAGCAAGACAAGGCACATAGACCCATCAGCTAGCTGAAGTACTAAAAATAAATACTGCGGCATGCCAATCCACCAAAGTTGACGTGCCTTGCGTGCTCGAAACGCCCTTCGCGGTAGAGCTCATCGATAGTCTTGGCTGTCTTTTCAAATGGCGGTAAATCGATCGTGTCCGTGCAAATACAAAATGTCGATCTTCTCTGACTTTAGAGCTGTCAGAGACTCATGAATGAACACGACGAATATTCTCAGAACAATGGCCGTGGGTACCAGCGGATCGAATTTTCATACCAGCCTTGGCCTTGCTGCAAAGCCTGCTCCCGGAGGCACACATCCAAATCACAAGGAAACCGCCCTTGCATTTTGACCAAACTAAGAGTCCCCTTGGATCGGACCAGGGAAGCAAAGGACCTCCTCGATGCCCTTCACGATCGATGCTCTAATATTCAACATGTCATCGGAGGCAGCGGGGACGTTAAGGACGCTATAGGCGGGTTAGGAAGTGGTGGTGGTGGTGGTGGTGGGGGTAGTTGCTTGATCCTTACACTCTTGCAAACCGTTCGATGCTGGTCGGTTACATTGAGGGCTGAGGACCTATCGTCGGAACTCTAGAGGAGGTCGTTGAAGTAAACTCAGATTTTAACTGGAAGCGAAAATATCTGGTCGCTGCAGAGCTCCTGTAGGCAACTGACAAACTTACTCTACCCTACCGATCGACCATCAAGGTGTTTGTCAAGTATAGCTCAGGTATCAAGATCTTAGAAGGTCTTAGGTATCCGTCAATGCGCGGGTTATTCATTTGATGCTTCCGCGCGTATTGTTTACCAACCCGGCAATGTGATCACTCCTAAGAACGAAGGATTGCTTCAAAGAGCATGATTGGGATCTAATATGTTCACGGATTGGAGAATTGACAGATCTGCAGGAACTAGGACTCAACTTTGATCGAACTGACAGGTTTCGACTGTACAAGTTGTGTGCGGGTCTACCAATGAGTCTTACGCTTAACTTGGGTATTGCAGTACCTCCAATGCCGAGTTTTGGACTAGGGCTAGGGTCAGCACGAATACGAATTTATGGGCCATAGTCGCACAAAGTCGAAGGACTAATGCGTCAGGTGCGGGCAGGGACCATTGGAGGGGGATTCCAGTAGCAGCGATCAGGACTAGGGTCCATGAGCGAGGATCTGTACCGTCTTCATACAGTCAAAAATGAGCTTTTTGCACTGAGGCTCCAGTCGACGCCTTGGAGCAGATCGCGCAACGTGCGAGTGTGGTGAACCTTAATTTATGAAGCCTCTCTCCGCCTGCTGCTCCCCACCTTGCTCTTTTCACCCCATTGCTGAGCCTTCACACAAAAGACAAGCGTGCGATGGCGACGGATTGGGACCCCTCGCGCGATTACGACTCGCTGACGTACTCGGAGGACTTTAACCCGCATGGGGCGTCAGGAAGATCTTTGGACCATCCCAGCATTACGCGCGATGACAACTTTCATATGCTCCATCTGCATGGTGACGACCATGACCATGGCCACGACCACGATCACGACCGCGACGAAGAGGACGACAGTATCGACAATGCAGACCTGGATCTGATTGCGGATATCGTGGACGGGAATGTTTCGCACCAGAACAGATACCAGCGGGGACCGATGCGTGGAGCAGCACATCGGACGGACGATAATTCAGGTACGACAAGCATGGGATGGACATGACATGATGGTTTTTACCCTGCAAGCGATACAGTCAACATCTGTGTGCGACATCTGGTTTAGGTTGCTCATAGGACATATGATTCGTTGTTCATATACCATAGCGACCTCTATTATGAGGTATCTCATCGGTGGATCCCAGGAGGCAGTGGAATACGAGGATTCGCCGGATTTTGGTCCGACAAGATACCACAATCAACAGCAGTCGGAACAGCAGATGCTTCTTGCGGACGACGCCAACGAGGATCACTTTCGAGAGTGGTCAGGAAGCACGTCAAAGCGATATGTTGCGAGCGTGGTAATATATATATCATCACTACTTTTTATTCGAGCCCATTGGAGTCTCTATCATTGGAGTCAATAGAAATTGACACTGAAGGAAGGGGTTGTCTTTCTGATACCTACTGATGAAATAGCGGGATCCTAGAGCAGCGCCCAAGGCGTCTCCCATGCAAAAACGGACCTTGTTACCTGTACGGCCACCTATAGAGAACTCGTCCAGGCCAGGAAAGCCTGTGCGATCTGTGTCGATAGATGGTAACGGGACTTCAATGCACTCTAACAGTGACTATGAGCTATTTGATGTGAACGTGATTACTCATGCGGAGAGTCTTTTCTTTTTCCTTTAAAAAAAAGAGAGCTTCAAACCACCAACGCCAAAATCAGGACTTCCGATGAGAGTCGGACCGGGATTAAGGACATCTATACCCTTGCCGAGGAGGGTGTCTGGAGAAAGAGATAGTGATAGGTCTACGACGGAGGCGCCGAAACCTGTTTTTCGCTCAGCAATGAAACCGTTTCAGGGGATCAGTCGTGCAGGCATAAGCAGACAACCATCCAAGAGCAAGCTCGGTCGGCATATTCAGCTACCGGCTGAGGTTTTGGATGACGAGGATTCAGAGCCAGAGCAAGAGCCAGAGCCAGGGCTCGAGCCAGAGTCTCGACCAGAACCTCAGTTAGAGTCAGAGTCAGAGTCAGAGTCAGAATCAGAGTCAGAGTCAAAACCAGAGCCAGAGCCGGAGCCAGAACCAGAGCCGCAATTCAAGCCACAACAGGAATTTGAGCCGAAACCTGGGTCTGAACCTGAGCCCGAGCCCGAATCTGGTATACCACAGGACGATGAAGACGCCGACAAAAAGGATCAGGAGCCAACTGAGCAAGTAGAAGAGGAGCCACCAATAGACGCGATCACAGAGGCGATCACCGCTCCCAGAACGACGCAGTCTCTTCTAGGACCCACCCGGTTTACGCGGCTCATGAAGCAGACTGGCTCTTCTGGCAAGAAATCGAACGCGACAATACCCACACCACAAGATGAAGGAAACAAAGTGCGTTGTGAGAGAAAGAGGAAGGAGATTTATCTGCTTTGCCTACTTTGTTTTTTTTTTTTTTCCTAATACCAGTTCCTTGACCTTACGGACTAAATTATCTATGAGTTTATATCACCCCCATAATAGCAAGTGCAAAACACCGTCAAGGAACTGAAGAGTATGCTACGACGACTGGGCCTAGTGCCGCTCTCGTCCACACTGGAGACCTCCCTGGACGGACTGGACGACCCAATGATAGAAAGGGGAGGGCTTTGTGAGGCACTGGGGATGCTACAGAGACTGGGCGGGATGTGTGAGAAGCAGCGGGAGGTTATTGACCAGATGACGGACCAGATTATCGCGGGCGAGACACAGTCGCGGAGGGATCCGGAGGCGGAGGAATCCATGCAGCAGATGGCGCAGGAGCTGGAGGATGTCCAGGTAGGCCCTGCACAAACGGTTTATTGCATCGATGGATTGGTTCGTCTGGCAAGGGTGATCATGTTATCCTTGTATTGAGGCGTTGACGGCCTTTTTTTTTATTTTTTTTATTAATATTTCTTGGATTGCCATAGACTGAACTGAGCAAAGTGCACAGGAGGAACCAGTCGCTGGAGGTGCGTTCTGAGGATATGAAGAGAGAACTAGAGATCCTTCGATCTGCCAAAGCGAAAGACGAGACTGTACCTCCTCCACCAATAACGCATCCAAAGGCGAGTTT